AAACTAATTAATTAATAAGCTGTTTTCTTAATTTTGACAAGGGAGGTAATTTTAAAATAAATTCAACTCACTCTAATAAAAATAAACAGGGAGTGATCTCCCCTAAACTTTCTCGAATATTCTTATATAACACTACTGTGGGATGACAACTTGGAATATAGACATGACTTTTGTTTATTTAAACTTTTAAAAATAGAATAAAATCTAGTAGAAAAAAGAATTGCGCACCAAGCGAACGCCAAAACAAAATGTGCATAATAATGCGCAATATTATTAGTACTTTATAAATTTACATGCATTTTTTGAGAAATCGGAAATAGCGTAAATTAGTACTACCGTTCAACGGAATTTACTCAAAATTTTATACAAGGTAGAGAATTAGATCTTTTACTTACATGTGAAATTTCATTTATCTATCTGAAATAGTACTGAAGTTATAGGCTTTTGAAAAATTCAAAGTAGAAAAAGTACCACTTTCAGTTATCGGAAATCGCTCAAAAAGTTGATACGGATCTACGATTTTGATAAAATACCTATATATGAAATTTCATCAACCTAGCTGTAACGGTACTCAAGTTATCGTGTTTACACACAGACACACACACACAGACATACGGACAAGATAGCAAAATTATGTTTTTCCGTATCAGTGAGGTGTAAAACGTCGAGATTTGTAAAAAACATTTTTTTTTTGCACGTTTACAATACTTTCTCTATACTTCATATATTTGAGAAAGTAAAAATAGTGAATGCAAAATCTCCAAGAGGAATTATTGTTGGAATAGTATAATTAGCAAAATGTGAATGCAAATTCTGTAGAAGTGTAAGAGGACATTGTTGTTGGAATATTATAATTAGCATGGATTGATGAAAGGCTATCTTTTATTTATTTTATTCACTGAACGTACTGTTTATTAATGATAATTTCTTATCAACTATTCCGCAACATTATACATGCATCATCACGTTCATTATGTGTGCAATTGTTTTAGTCATGAAACTATTGTAATTTTTAAAAATTTAAATAACTGAAAAAAAATGCATGAATTGATAAAGTGCAATATGGTAGGTAAAACAAGGATATTCTAAATACTGCCTTTTATTTATTTTATACACTGTTTGCTAATTATTATTTTATCTTTCCTTTTGCGGACAAGCTGGGGGTTTTATAGTCATTCACTGAATCAGGCACGCCCGCCGGCACTCGTACAGGGTGCGATTTGTGAGCTAGACTGAGCACTATCCATTTATATTTGCATTTAAGTTGTGTTTATGTTATGAGTGTTGTGTTTGTTCTTTCGTTTGTGTGTTGTGTTTGCATTTTCACTTGTGTTTGCATTGTGTTTGTTAGCATTGTTTTTGTGTTTTCTTTTGTGTTTAGTTTTGTTCTGTTTCCAAGTTGGTACATTTATGGTACATTTAAAAAAGATATACCGTGGCGACGCACGGGTATGCTGCTAGTCTATAATATAACGTATCTGGTAGTGTGTTTGTCTTTCCTTCCTTCCGTTATATATCATTAAAGCAAACAAATCATGGCCATGTGCTATTACTGGCATCGCAGTAACTTATTGTAAATAGTTGGATAGGGTTTATTTATATAACGATTAAAAATTTTTGTATTGTTGTCACTGTTTTTATTCTCTTGGATAACTGCATAAAATATTAAATAAACGCACATTGCTATAATATATTAAACGGATCAATGTCAAATAATACTTTCGCTTAGATTACTAGAAAAATTGGATACATTTTAATAGCAGAAGGTTAAAAAAAAACTAATTAATTAAAATCTTTTATAATTTTGCCAGGCGAGGTAATTTGAAAAGAAATCCAACTCACTCTAATGAAAAAAATGTGAATGCAAATTCTGCCGACGTGAAAGAGGACATTATTGTTAGAATATTATAATTAGAACGAATTGAGCCACCTAATACAAAGGCTAACGTGTATAAATTCTTTTGCAAATTCCCCATCATTTGACTTTTTTTTGTCCTATCTTGGATACTAGCGTATTTTCATTAGCATTTGTTTACTTATTGTTTTTCATTTCAAAAAAAAAATTTCAGCCTTAATCTGCCCCTGATTACAATCTATTAAAATACTTGAATAGTCTTTGTAGCCAATACACATCAGGCCCATAATCACGATGTAATAAGCCAATATCAAAAGAGATTTATATAACTAGATCTACACAAAATCTTTTTTCCTGACAATATGCTGTACTATTAAATATGCAAACAAAAACCATGCCTGTTTAAGTTGTCAGCTAATTAATAAAATGACTTGCAGTAATAAAAATACTGCATGTAAAGGTATAACATTGTTAACATTAGCTGCAAACTACAGACAATAAAATGATTTGTTGCCTTTAGGCCTATACTTGCTACTATCTTTGACAAGCGATTATCAGCACACTGGATATTGAACCCATGACACTTTACGCTGTAATGATATCATAAACTCCCCAGATTCACAGAGGTCACATGACATGGGAAAACTGGCAACCATCACTCACAAGAGCACAATGTAACTTTACAAATTGCCAACCCACAGGACTAACAACCAAATAAGATAAAGGGTTATTTCCCTTAACTAAATTCTAAATTAAATAGGCCTATGCCCTATTAATTAATAATACTAATAATAATAATAATAAATCTACTTAGTTTTAGATATAGTTCGTCTAACTACTTAGTAGGCCTATGTAATACTGCAAGATTTAATTTAATTTAAAAAATTAAAAGTAGCTTTTTGGACTCGGGCCATTTTTCATTTATAACAGCTGAACACTTTTAATATAGCGGCATATCACTATTTTACTATTTGACGCTGCATTAAGTTTGCCTATTTGACTACACTGCTACTGTATTAAAATTTTGGCTATACTTTAGCTGTTTTTATCTCTTGTGGACTTAATAAAGTTTTTACTTTTTGTAAATGGAGCATAGAGTTCATAGAGGAAGTGTTGTTATTGTAAAAAAGTCAAGTGTGTATATAATAGATAAATTGCCTGAGGAAAAGTTGCTAAATTAAAATTCAGATGGTGTGTGATATCAACTGGAAAAATTTCAAAAAGAAATACCTGTAAAGTTTAAATATGATACCCCCATTTTGAAAGAAGGATAAAATTGGAAAACTGAATGCAAAACTTTTTAGTGCTTCTGATTCTAAGTGAAATAAATACGGAGGAGATAATAGGCTTGAAAAGCTGATTTCAAATTGTTGTTGCAAGAAAGCATATTTTCAACCAAAGTTGAATATTTTACAACATTTGTGAAATGAGTACAAAATGGCTTCCGGTTTTACTAAGGCTAGAAATATTTTAAAAAATTACTAGTAATTTAGTTAACACATTTTAACTTGTATTAGTTGAGTCAGGTTGTTGTGCTAATGGGGTATGTTATATTATTTAATATAAACGAGCTGACCTGGGACATAGTTGTTTTAATTCCTACTTTTCAGTAATTCATAATTTGTGAATTAGACACTACCAATGCTGCGACTGAAAATATTTTGCTTTAAAATGCCATTAGTAGTTAGTGAAAGACGATTATCCTCACCCTCACTTTCCACTCTACCCACCCACCCCCCATCCGTCCGTGACGACAGTTTACAGATGACAATGAAAAGATCAAGCAGAACTTATTACCTCCCCTTAGTTTCAAATCGCTTTAACCCTTTGAGCCCGCCAGGCCGGTAAACCGGCTTCAACAATAGGCATATATGTCCGAAAAGCCGGTTTTCCGGCCCGATGACATAGCGTCATATTCCTAGCGGCCGATATACCGTCTAATTAAATATAATTAGCGGAAGACTGACTAAAACTGCGCATATGTCTTTTTAGTGTGTGATTATGATTCTAAAAATAGATTTTAGGAAAAGTGAAAGTGTTTACATTTCGTAGCAATGCCGCCGAAACGAAAAGCTGAGCCACAGACATCAACTTCAGCACATAAAGTTGGTGCAAAAGATGAAGCAAAAGATCGAAATATCAACAAAAGAAGTAGAATGACTGCATCTCAGGCAATACAACTACTTATTGATTCTGATGAAGAAGATAATATTCCTGGTCTATAGTGTGATGATAGTGACGTTGAATTTGAGACTGAACTCAGTGACATTGAAATTGACAGTGACAATGTACGTTATGATGCACGTGGTGCCAAGGACAAAGACTTGCCGAAACGAAAAAAACAACTGTTTACTGGTGCAAAACATGCGAAGTTTTTCTTTGCATCGGGTCCGGCAGTGATAACTGTTTTGAAAGTTATCACACAAAAGTGGACTTCTGGCTATGAACTAGTACGGCCAGGTATCAATAATAACAAAACAATTACTAAATGTAAATTTGTTTCTTCTATGTTTTATTAAAACAATAATTACGTGTTCGTTTTATATACATTGTTCTGTTCATACAATGTAAACAAATAAAGAATTTCAGAATCTTGCTGCATTGTTGTTTGATCCTGAGTCTGGATACCAAATTTGGCTTGATTATCTCAAACGGTTCAAAAGTTATAGGCAAAGTTAGAAGCAGATAAGTGAAAATTGGTTTGGCCCTGGGAGCTCAGGAAATAGGAGAAATTAGGCCAGGGAGGCCAGGGCTCAAAGGGTTAAAAACTAAATTATCTGCCCCTATTAGTCGTCACTAATTTGACCTGGCATGACGATTGTAGAATTATATATATAGATAAACCACTATAAATACTATAAACCACTATAAATAAATTATGATTACATAGACTTTCCAAGCCTATTAAGAAAGCTATGAGGCATATTAAAATGTGTTTACATTTTGAAAACAGAAACTCATTAACTCCTAATTATAATTCAAGAAATGGTACAGAAAATATGGGGCTAGTATAGTTATCATATTACCTAACAAAGATGACTCTGGAAATTGTAATAAAAAGAATGTTAGAATATAAAATGTGCAGGTAATTTTCAGGCCTGAATAAAGTTTATCATTTTAAAATACATTTTTAACTTTTTTTCAGCAAACAATTGTCTTTAAGCAGGAGCAAGGTAAGTGAAAATGATTCATTACATTTAATAGGAATATATTATATACTAGATAAATGGCCCGTTCAGGGAGAAATACAACGGGCGCTAGGTAGATAGTTTTTTTCTGTAAACCAAATCCACCACCTCAACATCAAATTTAACAGGAAATGAAAAATGTTATTGAAAACTGATTTTTATCCAGAATCAGCATTTTAACCAGATTCGGAAATATTTAACTTGAGATAAAACACCTAATAACCCTATCCTTAATCCTGATACTAACGCTTACTATATATTGCTTTTCCTTGTTTTTTTTTTATATTTACATTCACTTCTAAAATTAGACAAATAAATTAGGTGTTTAATTTTTTTGTCTCTATTATCAATGATGTCATTATTGTGTATCGTTTTCAGCATTCGACTCTCAATTCTATTTTTTAATTCAACAATCAATGATGTCATAAAATTTTGTGTATAGACACTAAATGTAGACATTGCCATAATACTTTATCTCGTAACCTTGATATACATGTAGTTACTGCACATTCATACAATATAGTCGTCGTCATACCCCTAAACCTTGCACCTATGCTGAAACTTGACAAAAGTTGCATTTGGTTTCTTTCAGGCAACACACCCCTCCCCCCCCCCCCCCCCCCCAAAGACCATCTACTGCCCCCTCGAACAAAAATAGAATTTATATTATATAGAAAATAAATATTTACCAGTGTCCACCCTCTCCCCGGGTAAAAGTCTAAAAGCAACAATGCTCGCATTTGTAGATCACACAGACTAAAGTGAGACCCGATATCTATAATTTAATCTAGACCCATTTCCTACTTTTGACCGCTAAACCTCAATCATGCAGTGTTACTTTCACTTTTTAGCGCACGTTTATTAACCCGTCATTTCTGGATGTATGAATGGATGTGTGTCCGCAGCTTTAAGTCGTATCTCCTCCTCAACGAAGCAATATCGAGGACTAGTTCCAAAAGCAATTATGTTAAGCAAGTTATTTCCTTTTAAATGGTAGATGAATTACAAAATTTCATATAAGATTACAAAAAATTCAAATTTGCGGTTGTTTTCTGTTTGTGATTGAGGATATTCAAATAATGACTGTCTGTGGAGGTTAATAAATTTTTATTGATTTAGAAACAGTTTTAGTTATCTTATTTTAAATATCTTTATCCTGATTTTTGTGTTAGAAGGATAAATACTAAAATAGTAAATGTAAACGTTCTTTATAGACAGTTTAATGGATACTGTTTTTTAATAATGTGATACTTTTTTTACAGCACACGATGACAGCATTTGGAGCTGTGCTTTTGGCAAAAATGAACGTGACCCCAGTGACTCCGAAATAATTGTTACTGGCTCAATAGATGACTATGTTAAAGTTTGGAAATGGTTTGTGGAAATCACTGCCCTGTACATGATAAAATGTTATTTTGGGTTTTGCAAAAATAGTAGTGAATAAAAGTATCTATTTCTTAATTTGTATTTAACTGGGTGTAAAACATTACACAAAATCGATTTTAGTTCTCAGATTTTGTTTTTGATGAATTACTGCTAAGTAGATGAATAATTTGTCACTATTAAAAATTAGTTTTTTTTTAAATAACAATTAAAGGTTTTACATTTTTTACATCCCCTCTCCCTTTTGTCAAACAATATTACAAAAAGTCAAGTCTTACCTCACCCCCACCCCTTCAATAATGATGTCACATCAGCCTCTATTTACAACCCTCTGCAAAACAGCATTTTAATTTATTTTTACACATCTTAAATATTGACTATGCTCTGTCAACATAGAGTATATTAATCAGTTTCTATTACACTTAATTAAAACCGTTTTTAAAACTCAAAATAATGTCTAAAATTCAGTCTTTAGGTGTTTTTTTTTTAAATGCAGAAGCATATCATCACACTATTTGATCTCCCCTTACCATTATCACACATTGTCACAAAATTACACCCCACCGCACCCAGAAAGAAGTTGAGTTGCAATTTTATTATACTAGAAACTAATGTACTGAGAATCTAGACCTTTTTTTTTATAATTATACTTAATAGTTATATAGTTGTAAATATATTTCTCTATACTATAATTGTAAACAGTTTTGATGTAAGTCATTATCATATTTAAATGTATTCTTCTAGTAAGGACAACAAATTAGAACTTCGACACACACTTGAAGGGCATCAACTTGGAGTTGTCTCAGTAGATATTAACGCAGATGGATCATGTATCCTTTTCAAAATAGACTAACATTTATAGCCTTTTTGCTCATTTTTGTTTAATGTCTATTACATATAAATGTCATATATAAAATCCATATATTATGCTTACACATATTTACTCTTAAACACATACACAAAAGTAGATGTATATAGAGATACATTAGTTTCACCATTTGAGGAAAATATACAACAGGTTTTGCATTAGGCTTTTTTTTAGCTAAATGATACTTAATTTTGACCAGATGATATAACATTTAAATTAGAATGATAGTTTAGTTCAGTTATAAAATAATTACCTTTGTTTCAAAATCATTCATCATACCTTATTCAATTCCTGTTTGGAAATAGAATATTTAGTTGTAAACCTTCATAAGAAGTTAATCTTGATTTCATTATAGAATAAATAATATAAAAAAGACATTTGTTAAACTTGAAGTTTTGTTGTGTCTTAGTATTAGTAACACCCAGAGCCATGTCAGCAGGATTAACTATGCCAAACTGGTCTCTGTGGGTAGGGGCCAGTTAATAATTGTGCCCTGGTCTTCCACATAAAACAAAGTACAGTCACAGTAACCACAGTCTAATACGTGTGTAAATATATAGATAGGCCTACATGCTTTGTTGTTAAATCGGATAATTATTCTGCTTGGTGAATTAATTAATAAAATATTACTAGTTTCCTTAAATTAAATAGTGGCAGCATCCAGTAGTTTAGACAGTCATGTCAGAATTTGGGATTTGGAAAGTGGAAAACTGGCTAAAAGTATAGACGCAGGTCCCGGTGAGTATTATCTGTCTGTGATTCATAAATCATTTTGTAAAGCAAACAAGAAACATCTATTTTATCTTAATTAAGGGGTTATTTTTCTTCTTGTTTCATGTTTATTTTCCTAAAAACAAAATAAAATTATCTTTTTAGTAATTTCTAAATCATTTTTTTGAAAAGTTTACTTAGTCTGTGATAATTTAACTTCCACTGGGTTATTTGCAGAGATATCTATTGAACTGCAAAACAAAAAAATTGTCATATATATATATATATATATATATATATATATATATATATATATATATATATATTCCTGAATTTCCTAAGTTGTTTCTTAGTTTAAAATCTGTTTGACCACCGACTATCTATTAGCTCTATTGAAATAACTATAAACTATTTGTTTCTAGTTGATGCCTGGACCATTGCCTTTTCGCCTGACTCACGATTCTTAGCATCAGGCAGTCACACGGGTTTGTGGAATTTAATCTAATATTACTTTGGACATAAATGTTTTCTTATTTCTTTTGAAAATCCTATTCTTTTCAATAAAGAAAATAGACCATTCACCCTTAAGCCTAAAAAGGTGAACTAGAAAGAATTTTTAATTTTTCAATTGCACAGTGGCTAATGAACCTAATCCATTCCCAAGTGTGGTTTAGTTAATGTCATTGTAGAGAACATTAGCCTCAGCTCTTTTTGTACAGTTATTGTTTGTGAAATCTGTTTTCATTTTTTTTGTAAACTTTTCAAAACATCCAGCTAGGCAGTTCATTCTCTGCTTTTTGTTTGTTCATCAAAGTTTTAAAAAAGAGCAATCCCGATCCTTTGTTAACTGAGATAGCATTGTAAAAATAATATCTTGTAATAGTTACGTCTTATTAAGTATATTTTTCTTTTCTTTAAGGTAAAATTAATCTCTTTGGGGTTGATAGTGGAAGAAAAGAATCATCCATGGATACCAGAGGGAAATTTACACTGAGTCTAGCTTATGCAAGTTAATTAAATCTTTAAAAATTTAGTTTTTATTATTTATTATCACCTGTTTTGAATAATCCTGTTTTAAATCTACATCAGGTGTAAAGTATGTATTGTGGAGAACTTTAAAAAAATATTTTTCAATACAAAAAAATGTACTGCATTGCAGAATCTTTAGATATAAAAAATTAAATATACTACAGTACTAGATAGTACACAAACATGTACATACACATATATGTGTACATATACATTAATTCACATATACATGTTTATAAATATATATATACACACATACAGGAATAGGGCATTACCCCCCTGTCAATTACCCCCGCCCAGTATGACATTTCCCCCCCCCCCCCCCCTAGACAGGGTTAAAGTTAAGGTTAGGCTTAAACCAATGTCTAGTGTTAATCCTAACCTTAAAAAAAGACCAAAACCTTAGCATTTACCTCAGCCAAAAAGCTTATCATAACGCTAGCTGTACTTTAAGCTATAATGGGGGAGCGGGGTAAAGTCCTTCTTGGCGTGGGGGGGGGCTATTGACAGGGGATAATTGCGCGTCGGGGGGGGGGGTGGATGCCCTGTTCCCGTATATATATATGTTTGTTTATGTATAAGTATTTATATATATACTAGCCGGCCAGGCCTTGCGCTAGCCTCTGTGAAAAAAAGGAACATGACTTGTGTGTTTATTAAGCAGCAAATACCTGGCATTGCCAGTGTTAGGAAATATATTCGAATTAAACCTAACCACAACCAACCAAAACATAAACATGTATAATATATACATACATATATAATTACATATATGTATATATATTTATTTATATGCATTTATATATATGTTTATATTTACATATATATGCATATATATATATATATATATATAAATATTCACAAATACATATATATATATATATATACATCCTTCATACATACATATATTCATACATATATATATATACATACATATGTGTATATATATACATATATATCAGACATGCCTAACGTGTCCGCCATCCCATTTTCATCGAAGTTTGTCCCTCTTATTATTTTTTTTTAAATTGATAAAGAAAAGTAATACTAATACATCAAATTGAAATAAAGAGGAAGGTAAATCGATTATCTCCCTTTGGAACATGTTTCTGTTTCCTTGTTTACTTACAATATTTATAAGTATCATCTAAAACTAGATCTACTAATAGATAATGTGGACAATCTAGCTTCTGAACTTTCTATTTAGTATTTGCAATTGAATTGAAGATTTAACTTATGCCTTGTAGGGAGAAAATACAATAAAATCATGACTAACACACTAATTTCTAAATCTAGAATTTTCTAGATAGAATCTAGCAGATTCTAGGTAGATACAGATCTATCTAAGTTGTAACTACTATTATGAAGAATTTACTAAGAAGTAACTAGGACGTTTACTAGTCTAGGTAGAGCTAGATAAAGGTCTTACCTTATATTTTATATTGCATACAAAGCGTTCAGCACTTATTGTACATATATCCTAGAACAGGGGTCGGCAACCTTTTGAGACAGAACAGCCAAAATGTACAATTTATAAAATTTCCCTGTTTTTAAAGAGCCAATGTCAACGAGCCGACCCGCAGCATATCATGCGCCGCTATTTAGTTGTTTTATTTTCTACTTTTCAGTAATTCATAATTTGTGAATAATTCGACAGTACCAATGCTGCCACTGAAAATATTTGCTTTAAAACACTATCAGTAGGTCGTTAAGGACAATACTACCACCACCCTCCTTTCCCCCAACCTCTAACCTATATATATACACAAATATGCATATGTATATATACACATATATACATATGTATATATATATACACATATAATACACACATATATATACACATATATTTAAACACATATAAAAAATTTTTATACACATATAGATATATATATTATATACACATATATGTATACATTTATGTGTATGTATATATATACATATATATATATATATATATATATATATATATATATATATATATATATATACATATATGCATTTATATTTATATACACATATATGCATATGTATATATACACATATGCATATGTATATATACACATGCATATGTATATATACACATATATGTATATATACACATATATGCATATGTATATATACACATATGCATATGTATATATACATGTATATGTATATATATACACATATATGCATATGTATATATACACATATATGCATATGTATATTTACACATATATACATATGTATATATCTATATATACATATATATATATATATATATACACATATATACACATATATATACACATATATATACACATATATATACACATATATTTAAACACATATATAAAATTTTTATACACATATAGACATATATATTATATACACATATGTATACATTTATGTGTGTATATATATATATATATATATATATATATATATATATATATATATATATATATATATATATATATATATATATATATATATATATATATATATGTGTGTGTATACATGTGTATATATGTGTATACATGTGTATGTATGTATATATATAATATTTTTAAATTTTTATATATATTTATTTATATTTATATATGTATTCTTGACCAAAGAGTCCTGACGGAAAGTTTATAGCATCTGGTGCCTTAGATGGAATTGTCAATGTCTTTGACATCACAACAGGAAAGTTAATTCATACATTGGAAGGTTTGTTATTTTTACAATGTTATTTACAAGTATTATTTTCATTTTTGTTTAAAACAAACATATTATCTTAAGCCAAAAAATCTTATGCCTCAAGCAGATGTCACATCTATAGTTATATTACAATGTGTTTTGATTATGTGGTCTGGGGACAAGTAATTCAGATCTATTACAAACCTGCATTATAAATGTAAATGGCCTTTTGATTGGAAAACATTACTATTTCGGAAAATAATTAAATCATAGTATCTGTACCTGTGGTGGTTTTGACGCTTTGAAAAAAATAGGTTATGTTTGTAGAGTATTGTCACTTAATTAACTCAATTTTCAGTCTCCTTCATACTGTCTAGCATAATTGACTAGCTTGAGGTAGCTACGCGATTACTCTCCAAAACTGTTGACCCAGTTGGTTGAGAGAGACCTGGCCATTATATTCAACACTGAGCACCAACAAAAACTTGTTTATATCTTCTAAGTGGCCTGAAAGAAACATTGAAAACTAAAGCTGAAAGAAAATTAAGAAAAAAAACTTTTTTTTACTCTCAGGCTGCCAACCTGTTAATAAACTGGTATAAACTGCAAGAGAAACTGATTAGCTGTTATTTAATTATTGCAACACTTAATTTTGTTTAATAGGCCCCTTTCTTTAGGTTAATGTTTTTTATACCATTGAATATCAGGGGCTTGAAAGATCACTTTTCTATAGAAGATTCACTACATATTCTAATTTACAAGGCTCCATTATTGTTCTCAGATTTTCTTACAGTAGGGGTTGCTGTATTTCTGTTGTTCCACCTGGTGCAGTTGATTTAGCATTCTTAATGTTTTTGATGGCTTGAGTGACTGAGAAGGTGGATGTGTGACCATCTGCAGTTGCTCTGTTGCTGGTGGTGTGTCAGGAACAGATAGTCTAGGGTTGTGGGGGGGGGGGGGGGGGGGGATCTGTTTAACATTATTTAACATTTCTTCCAAATGTTTTACCCAGCAATCCTTCTGCTTTGCATGTCTGCTTAATGTTTTGCAATTTTAGTTTTAAAGACCTTCTGGTTGTAACCCTAGCCTTAGTTTTTGTAACATAAACAAGTTTTATGCTACCATATGTGAATGAAGTGTTTCTTATCTCTTACACTCTTCTTTAGATTGCAATTGGCCTCCCAATAATGAGGAAACAATTAGAAAAGGGACGGCTTGAGTTTGAATCCCTTTCAAGTCACATGAGTTACATTATTTTATTTTATAGCAGTATTATCATAGTGTTGTTGATGATGTCAACCATCGTTGAAATTTGTCACTGTACAACACTTGTGCTAAGGGTGCCTAACTGCTGTGCACAATTGGTTATACATCCAAAAGTGTGGTCTGTTGTTATTCTCTCAAGATCAGCCCCTAAACACACTAACATCACAGTGATCATCACTAACATTCCCACTAAGCCAGAGTTACATAAATAAAATTCAGCTGAATTTTTTTCCTATAGGCCATGCTATGCCAATTAGATCACTCTGCTTCTCACCAGACAGTCAGTTACTTATTACAGCATCTGATGATTGCCAAATCAAGATTTATGATGTGTAAGTTATTACCTAAATTATTTAGCTCCATAACGTTTTGCAAGTAACTTGACACAGATTAAATTGCAAAGTTCAGTTTACACGTTACAGTTCTCTACGCTGATTGTCTTGCTGAAAGCTAATAGCTTGCAAGCAAGATACAGTGTACAGTGCCACATAGTAAAGAAGCATCTCTTCTAGTTTCTTATAGCTTGAAAGATACAATATACAGTGCCCACAAAGTAAAGAAACATCTCTGGCTAAATCACTTATTGATACTTATATTATCAATATTCTATTTTTAAGGGCACGCGTTGTTAACTTCAGCACCTAGCTTCCATATGTAGACTTACTTTCTACTAGCACTAAATCATTAGCTTCTTAAATTTCTTCATTTTAAAAACTTCTAAGACTTATATAATATAAGGATATTTTCTAGCATGCCTTTATTGTAAATTAATGTATAGTCAACAAACACTAGATCAATTGCATCTTTGTAGTATTGATAATTGGGTTGAAGAATTTGTTGGTTAAAACTAGAAGTTCATATCTGGAATCTTTACTCTGGTTTATAAATGAATCGCCAATCATGTCGTTATCATGTAACAAATTATTTTTTTCAGTCAGCATGCAAATCTTGCTGGTACTCTTTCTGGACATGGCTCATGGGTTCTTGGAGTTGATTTCTGTGCAGATAACACTCATTTTGTTTCTGGGTAAGTTCTAAAAACTTTAAATTTTCCCTCTTAGACAAGGTGCTCAATTTTTTCAACTTTGATGGGTGTTTTTAACTGCTCAAGGCAACTGGGGGAGGGGGGGGGGGTCTAACTTTTAATATATCCACTTCCTAGTGTATACACTTTACACTTTAGTCACAAATACTAAGTATGCTGGGTGCTCACCCAGGTGTGATTTTTTTTTTAAATTCACTCCTTTACATGAGAAAAGAAAGTTCTCATTGATTGTTTTGTATTAAATAAGGGGAGGAGGGGAGGGGAGTATAAAAACTTTGCAATAAGCCTTTAAATGCAAGATATAATAAGAAAAGAAACCTTTCTCAGGATATAGTTTCAATAAATTGGGGAAAACACATTTATTTTATCATGATAGATATAGATAATTTATTGTTATTTTAAGTTTCATTCAATAAAGGTTATTTTAGTTTCTACTTTTCAGCATGTAGATATTGTTAAGATATAAGTAAATAGAAACTTAATTTTTAAAAACATTTAGCACTCCATTTTTAACTCTTTCCAAATAGATAGCCTGCGGGCAGATAATTTGTTTTTAAACTATTTGAAGCTAAGTGGAGGTAACAAGTTCTGCTTGATCTTTTCATTGACATCTGAAAACTGTCGTCACAGACGGCTGATTTCACGGGGGGGGGGGGGGGGGGGGGGGGATAATCGTCCTTTATGAGCTACTGATACAATAGAAAATGTTTTAAACAGGAAAGATTAAAATAAATTGTGCATTATAAATCTGTCAAAATGTAGGTACAAGATTTGTCCTCAAAACTTTGACCACAGTGAATATGCCCTGGGTTCCATTATTTCAACATTTAAGAACAGGGTTCAAACGGAATGGTTGCTCTTTCCTGTTGATAGGGCAGATGAAGTAGAGTTTATTTTTCTGTAACCCCATTGTGTTTTGCCCAGCTACCTTTACTTTCCCTTATTGGAGTCAGGTACCCAACAGAGCTGGGTTGTCTCAGTGATACCCTGTGGATCAGATATACTGGGTTTGCAATTGTTTGATTTTTCTCTTCTGATTCTTGTTTTATATTTATAATTCCAACATTCTTAAATTTCCAGCAAATTTTCTTTAAAACTTTCAATTTTGGTTTTAAAGCATTTATACATTTACTACTATGTCAAATTGATTTTTTTTTTAAATGGTACCAGAGCTATTTTAAAAAATTGCTATGTTTAGAACTCAAGATTCTATGATAGTTGATGCCAAATTTGTTCAGTTCATATATCATTTTTTGACACCCTAAAAGTAACAGATTTGAGGGGTTTATATATACATACATAGAAAATAAACCAGGAGTGATCTCCCCTAAACTTTCTCGAATATTCTTATATAACACTAAGGGGGATTACAATTCTGGATTTAGACATGATTTTAATCCATTTTCAATTACTTAAACTTTTTAAAATAGAATCTCGTAGAAAAAAAAGAATCGCGCACCAAGTGAATGACAAACAATATCTTTTAAATACTTTACAAATTCATATTAGTTTTTTTTTGTTGAGAAATTGGAAATAGCCTAATTACTACTTCCAGTCATCGGAAATTACTTAAAATTTGATAGAAGGAGGAGAATTACAGTACTACTTGTACTCAAGTTATAGGCTTTTGAAAAATTGAAAGTAGAATAAGTTCTGTTTCCGGTTACCGGAAAATCGCTGAAAATTTGATACAGAACTACAAATTTTGATATAATACTTACATACTCAAATTTTGAGTAATTTCCGTAGACCAGAAGTAGTAATTTACGATTTCTCAAAAAAACGCATGTAAATTTATAAAGTGCTAATAATATCCCACACTTAATTTGGCGTTCACTTGGTCTGCGATTCTTTTTTTTTACGAGATTCTGTTCTATTATAAAAAGTTTTAGTAATTAAAAATGGATTACAAATATTGTCTATGTTCTGAGTTGCCATCCCCCGTAGTGTTATATTAGAATATTCGAGAAAGCTTAGGGGAGATTACTCCAGTTTTTTTTTAATATCAAGCCACTAAAACCTGCTACCGTAAATTTAGAAAAGCTTGGTGCGAATTTAGTGTGTTGTGCAGAGCTAGAGGGCTTAATATTAACTTTTTACTGGTACCAAGCTTATTGCGATGCTGGCTTATTGCGACGCGGGCGAAAACTGCGTTGTTGTTTTTTCTGCCGTTTGACATACCTAAAAAGTCATAAGATAGATCTAACTGTTTACTTTATTTGGTACGATAATATTTTACTCAGCTCTTCAGACAAAACTGTAAAGATATGGAATGCTGGATCAAGGCAGTGTATTCACACGTTCTATGACCATACAGATCAGGTAAGTAATATTTTTAATCAGCTTTATATCCAAATCACTCTTCTGATTTATGGACATAGTTATGAAAATTATATTTATATATATATATATATATATATATATATATATATATATATATATATATATATATATATATATATATATATATATATATATATATAAGTAATATTTTTAATCAGCTTTATATCCAAATCACTCTTCTGATTTATGGACATAGTTATGAAAATTATATATATATATATATATATATATATATATATATATATATATGTTACGGTCAAAGCCCGAAGTACGGCCAATGCTAGGATTGGCCGGCCAATCCGCGCATTGGCCGGCTCTCTTGGCCAAAGCCCGAAGAACTTAGCACTAAGATCGTATTTCGTACATTGGCCGGCCAATGCGCGCACTGGCCGGTATGTCCTGGCCAATGTTCTATCTAGACTAAGTTGTGATCGCATTTTCATTATTCTGGGTGCGTTTTCATTGAGAGTAACGTATTGTTTAGCTCTTGTTTATATAGCATTCTATATGCAAGGCGACATGGATCAAAAGGGCCATGAGACAGACATAGCAGATGGCTGTCAAAAGAAAAAAATGTAAATCCATGTTAGTTTCCATATATGGACTCTCGATAAAATAGTTACTGAGGAAGATCTTGAGAACATTGAACAAGAAATGGAGGTTGCCATAAATGCAACGACATCCTCAGCTAACACATCTACTGCCATGGCGGAACGTCCAGACCAACTGCGTGACAATTATGTGGCCAACAGATTCTGTATAGTTTGTGAAAAACATTGTAGTGCAGCTTATTCTTTTGGATCCTGTGGCAACGATGTCCATGCTATTTGTGGAATACCCAATGAAGCAGAGGTACGGAGGAAACATTACCTGCAGATTGTGTCACAACAAACAAGACATCATGGAACACAGGTCAGCAGCTCATACTGGCTTGCAAACTCAAGGTGCTAAGATGCTTAAAACATTAAATACAAAATTTAAAGATGGTGAAGTGGGTGACAATGTACGCATCCGTTTTCCAGATGTTGACAGAGGTCACGGTGATCTCCGAAGCGTGATTGCAGTTGTCATGAGCGTCGAGGGCGGTTTCTACAAATTAGGAACAGCACGTGGTGTTCTAAAACAACTGTATGCTAAAAGTGAGTTTTCAATTCTTCACGAAAAACTGCTCTTATTGTCGTCAGTTGGCACTGAGGAAAAATCACTATGAACCATCGCATCTTCACAATCATTGACTGGGGGCCAAGGCTACACTCGCTGCAATTGCACAACTAAGTGCACAACAAATCGCTGCAAGTGTAAAAATAACAAGCTGCTATGTAATTCTAAATGCCATAAAAGTTCAACTTGTTGAATCAAATTATGATATTGATAGATTGAGACTATAGTACAATAAAAAATTTGAATGTTTCTGTCATTTACTTTAATTAATAATCAATAAAGACTTAATTTCATGATTCTTACGGCATAAAAAAACCCCCAAAATCTGCTCATGATCTTCTAATTCGAACTTTGGCCGGTCGTCCCTAGCCAGATGATCTTCTAATTAAGACTTTGGCCGGTCCACCATGGCCAGTCCCCGGACTGGCCGGCCAAAGGCCGAAATCAAGAGCTATTTCAGGCCGAAATCAAGCAAAGTTTCGGACTTTGACCGACCTATGGGAGGCGATATTGGCCAATCCTAGCATTGGCCGACTTCGGGCTTTGACCGTAACATATATATTATATATATATATATATATATATTATATATTATATATATATATATTATTTATATATATATATATTATTTATATATATATATATATTTATATATTATATATATATATATATATTATTTATATATATATATATATATATTATTTATATATATATATATATTTATATATTATATATATATATATATATACACATATATACATATATACATATACACATATATACATATATACAGAGATAAACTAAATGGATAGATGTATAAATATATACATAGATATACTCACGTGCATGTGCACAGAAGTATTTATGTGTGTAACTATGTGTCTCAAGTTCGGATCTCCGTCCAGACATGGATACAGGACGTTTTTGAGTCCATCCAGCTATGATGGGTACCTGACACGTTGGGGCAAGTAAAGGTGCCTTGGCAGTACATGATTTGGTTTGGTGACGCTAACCTTGTCATGTTAAAATAAATAGCATGTAACTGAGTTAGTTCGAAGTGAGTTTTTATACAACCCCAACGGACTAATTAAGGCTGTCGCAAGAGATGTAACATATGTCAATGAATTTTCATTTTTCTGTATGCGCTTTTTTTCTGGTTGAGCTTTTTTCTATTTGCGCTTTTTTCCGTTGCGCATCTTTCAGGTCACGGGTGTTGGGAATTTGCGAGACGCGAAATGGCGAGCGGAATCACCTGCGGAATCACGGGTAAATAGCGAGGCACAATTTGCGAAAATAAAATTATATTTTCGGGTTGATATATCACGAAAATTGTGTGTTATTCTTTTTTTTTAATCGAGAGAGAGCTCTAAATAAAAAAATCTTAACATCATATGACTGTCCTGTGGTGATAGCCCGCTCTCGTTTTTTTTGTCAGCGGGAGAAAAATCCAGTCTCGATAGACGGGTCAGTAAGCGTCCATAAAGAGAATAATATTATTTTAGACTATATTTTTAAAATCTATATCTAGATATTCAAAATTCCAAACTTAGGTCGGTATACATTTCGAGCCGTCCCACTTTTATTCATTAAGACATCATGTGACAGGACACTGCGCGACCTTCAGATTTTCTTCCAAGCATCTCATTACTAATGTGGTCGGGTTCAAAAGAAAGGGAGCGGGTGGTATCAGAGTTTCTTCCAGGCATCTCTTGGGGAAAAAGTCCACCACCGCCCCCCCCCCCCCCGAACAAGATGGATTTTATATAGTAAACATACACTTTTACTAGTGTCCGTCACGTTAACAAATCATCAGATTATCTAGAGACGGGAAAATCGTAAGTTTTAACAATGTAAACGAAACGTCTTTGAAGTCTGCATCAAATATCACTGTAAATCGGTCACGGTAAAATTTTCGCTGATAGCTTTGCATCCTACCACCACTCTGCGTAAGTATCGGATGATGGTAAAATGCGAGGCAAAAATGTCACGCGACCGACGGTTTTTGCGCCCTTCTCGCAATTTCCCAACACCCAACCACACTATCCAATAAATAATATGTTGACGTCGAGAAACACATGAACTCTACATCATCAGCCCTTTAGATCTCTAGGTCTGAAAGGAGAACTTTACTTTTTATGTATTTAAATATATTCTGTTTATTATTATTATTATTATAGGTTTGGGATGTAAAATACAACCCATCTGGTTCAAAAGTTGTATCAGTATCTGATGACAGAAATCTACATCTTTATGATTGTCCTATTTGATTTTATACTGTTTTCAAATATTTGTAAAAGTTGATTTAATAAATACAAAAGTTGTAACAAAACATGTTTTGTCTTATATGAATAATAGGCCTGCTTTATTAGCGAAATTTACAAAACTAGTTCCAAGTACCCATACCCCAATTAATTAATTATGCATATATCTAAATTAGTCATATGTTTATATTTTATACATTTTAAATAACTCTTTGAACGTGAAAAGAAATGAAATATTTCACATGAATAAATTGAATTAAATCATCTTGAAGAACATTTTACATATCTTCCGAAATTACGCGAATCTATAGTTCTACTAAAAGCCTAATCTAGTACTAGTAGAACAAAGAAAACTGCTAGGGAAGAGTGGCAAGCTATACTAAAAAACCAGCAAAATGTGTAGAAAAAATGTGGATTCACAGAATTAAATTACATTGTATGATGAGTCTGACGCATTCAGCGCTTTACTGATTGATTTTACTATTCACTACGAGAATGAAGCAGGAGTCATCTCCTTACTGATTGATTTTACTATTCACTACGAGAATGAAGCGGGAGTTATCTCCTTACTGATTGATTTTACTATTCACTACGAGAATGAAGCGGGAGTTATCTCCCCAAAATTTCCGTGTTTTGTTGTATAACAATAAGTTATTTAAATGGAAGGCACTTTCAGTGCTATTTGCCTCTACTTATACTGTAACGAAATGTTTAATTTTTTTTAATACTTAAATTTTTAAAAACAAATTAGAATCAAGTAGAAATAAGAAATGTACGTAATAGAGTGGAAAATCAATACTTATAAAGGAAACACTGCTAATTAAACATCTAAGTCACAGTCATTTGTTATTGAGTTTTGACCTGCAGGAAAAGTTGAAACAAATCAGTCCGGTAGAAGTGATATTTTTTTAGAAATGGGAAATAGTGTAAAATACTAATTCCGGTCACTGGTAATTACTCGAATTTGACATAATAAACTAGCTGCATCCCGTGCTCTGCCACGGTAAATCTTTTTTAAATGTACCAACTTGGGAACAGGACAAAACTAAACACAACACAAACGAACGCAAAAAAAAACACAAACGAAAAAACAAACACAACACTCATAACATAAACACTATTTAAATGCAATCATAAAGGCATATTGCTCACAGTCTAGCCCGTAGCGCCAAATCGCGCCCTTTCCGGTGATTTGCACCCCCCCTCAAACTTTCGATTTGCACCCCTGTCCCCCCCGCCCTAAAAACTTTCGATTTCCACCACCCCCCCCCCCCATCGCAAATTTTTTCCAACCCACTTTGGCGCCCCCTAAGGTTGGCACCCGGGGACATATGCCCCCCCCCCGTCGCTACGCCTCTCCTATAAAACCCCTAGCTTGTCCGCAAACCGAAAGATAGAATAATAATTAGTAAACAGTATAAATAATAGGCAGTATTTAAAATATCCGTGTTTTACCTACAATATTTCACTTTATCCATTCACGCATTTTTTCCCAGTACTTTAAATTTTAAAAATTTACAATAGAGTTTCATAACTAAAACCATTGCGCACCGAATGAACGTGATGACGCGTCTATAATAGTGCTTAATAGTTGATTAAAAATTATAAGTAGTAAACATTACATTCAGTGAATAAAATAAATAAAAAATAGCCTTTTATCAATCAATGCTAATTATAATATTCCAACAATAATGTACTCTTACACGTCTGCATAATTTGCATTCACATTTTGCTAATTATATTATTCCAACAATTATTCCGTCTTGCAGATTTTGCATTCACATTTTTAGCGTGAGTTCAATTTATTTTTAAAATACCTCCCTTGGCAAAATTACTAAACAGTTTAATTAGATTTTTCTAACCTACAGCTATTATGTTATTAAAATGTATCCACTTTCTCTAGGAATATTAACGAAAACGATATTTGACATTGATCCTTTTAATATGTTTTAGCAATGTGCATGTATTTAATATTCTCTTTACGTTATGCAAAATTGTACAAACAGTGGAAATTATAAAATAGCTCTATGTCGTTATATAAACAAACCCTACTCTAATACTTATAATAAGACACTGCGGTGCACTCAAAAGCACTGCATGGTGCATAGTTTACTTTTATGGTTCCAAAATCTATAGCGATGACGGACGGACAGACACAGCCCGCTTATATTATAGACTAGCTGTATCCCGTGCTCCGCCACGGTAAATCATTTTTAAATATACCAACTTTGGAACAGAACAAAACTAAACACAACACAAACGAACAAACGCAAAAAAAAACAAAAAAAAAAACGAAAAAACGAACACAACACTCATAACATAAACACAATTTAAATGCAATCATAAAGGCATATTGCTCACAGTCTAGCCCGTAGCGCCAAATCGCGCCCTTTCCGAGTCCCGGCGGACGCGTTTGACACAGTGAATGACTACAAAACAGAGGCGTTGCGACCCTTTCCGGCGCCCGGGGACAAACTTTCGATTTGACCCTCCCTCAAACTTACGATTTGCACCCCCTCCCCTCAAAATTTCAATTTCCACCCATCCCCTCAGACTTTCGATTTGCACCACTTTTGATTTGAAATTCCCCCCGCTCAAACTTTTGATTTGCACCCCCTCAAACTTTCGATGTGCACCCTACCCCCCCTCCCCCTCCCTAAAACTTTCGATTTCCACCCCCCCCCCCCCTAGCTACGCCTCTCTTATAAAACCCCAGCTTGTCCGCAAACCGAAAGATAGAATAATAATAAATAATATACAATAAAAAATAGGCAATATCTATAATATCCGTGTTTACCTACCATATATCACTTTATCAATTCACGCATTTTTTCCCAGTATTTTAATTTTTAAAATTTACAATTGAGTTTCATAACTAAAACCATTGCGCACCCAATGTCTATAATGGTGCGGAATAGTTGATTAAAAATTATAATTAGTAAACAGTACATTCAGTGAATAAAAAGAAATAAAAGATAGCCTTTTATCAATCAATGTGCTAATAATAATATTCCAACAATAATGTACTCTTACACGTCAGCATAATTTGCATTCACATTTTGCTAATTATATTATTCCAACAATTATTCCGTCTTGCAGATTTTGCATTCACATTTTTAGCGTGAGTTCAATTTATCTTTGAATTACCTCCATTGGCAAAATTACTAAGCAGTTTAATTAGATTTTTCTACCCTACTGTTATTATGTTAATAAAATGTATCCACTTTTTCTGGGAATATTAAAGAAAACTATATTTGACATTGATCCTTTTAATATGTTTTAGCAATGTGCGTGTATTTAATATCCTCTTTACGTTATGCAAAATTGTACAAACAGTGGAAATTATAAAATAGCTCTATGCCGCTATATAAACAAACCCTACTCTAATACTTATAATAAGACACTGCGGTGCACTGAAAAGCACAGCATGGTGCGTAGTTTACTTTTATAGTCCCAAAATCTATAGCGATGACGGACGGAAGGAAGGAAGGAAGGAAGGAAGGACAGACACAGCCCGCTTATAATATAGACTAGCTGCATCCCGTGCTCCGCCACGGTAAATCTTTTTAAAATGTACCAACTTGGGAACAGAACAAAACTAAACACAACACAAACGAACGCAAAAAAAAAAAACAAAAAAAAAACGAACAAACAAACACAACACTCATAACATAGACACAATTTAAATGCATTCATACAGGCATATTGCTCACAGTCTAGCCCGTAGCGCCAAATCGCGCCCTTTCCGGTGATTTGCACCCCCCTCAAACTTTCGATTTGCACTCCTTCCCCCCCCCTCCCTAAAACTTTCGATTTCCACCCCCACCCCCCCCCCCCCCCTCGCACATTTTTTCCAACCCACTTTGGCGCCCCCTAAGGTCGGCACCCGGGGACATATGCCCTCCCCTCGCTACGCCTCTCCTATAAAACCCCTAACTTGTCCTCAAACCGAAAGATAGAATAATAATTAGTAAACAGTATAAATAATAGGCAGTATTTAAAATATCCGTGTTTCACCTAAATATTTCACTTTATCCATTCACGCATTTTTTCCCCCAGTACTTTAAATTTTAAAAATTTACAATAGAGTTTCATAACTAAAACCATTGCGCACCATCCACCCAATGAAGGTGATGACGCGCCTATAATATTGCGGAATAGTCGATTAAAAATTATAAATAGTAAACAGTAAATTCAGTGAATGAAATAAATAAAAGATTGCCTTTTATCAATCCATGCTAATTATAATTTTCTAACAATCCGCATCCGCACAATTTGCATTCACATTTTGCTAATTATATTATTGCAACACTAATTCCTTCTAGTACGTCCGTACATTTGCATTCACATTTTTTTTTTATTAGCGTGAGTTAAATTTATTTTTGAATTACCTCCCTTGTCAAAATTAGAAAAAAAGAGTTAAATTAATTTGATTTTTCTAGCCTACTGTTATTACATTATTAAAATGTTTCCACCTTTCTCAGGCATAAAAAAGAAAACAATATTTGACATTGATCCTTTTAATATGTTTTAGCAATGTGCGTGTATTTAATATTCTCTTTACGTTATGCAAAATTGTACAAACAGTGGAAATTATAAAATAGCTCTATGCCGCTATATAAACAAACCCTACTCTAATACTTATAATAAGACACTGCGGTGCACTGAAAAGCACAGCATGGTGCGTAGCTCACTTTTATAGTCCCAAAATCTATAGCGATGACGGACGGAAGGACACGCTCAGCCCGATTATATTATAGATATCGGTGTTTTAGAATTTTGAAATAAAGTACCACTTCTGGATATCGGAAGTCACTAAAAATATAATAGTAAATCAAGTATAAGATCTTAACTACAAGCAGTTCCTCCCTCCATTACAACTATAACTTCTTTTAAACTCGCTCAATTCATAAACAAATCAAGCTCTCAACAGAATACATTCCACCAAATTAAAAAAAATTGATGTTTTTATTTACAACCGTTAAGATGTGTTGCTTAGAAGCGAGCACAGACGTTTAAGTGCATAACATAGATCTACATGATGTTTATATAATACAGGACGTTTTGTTTTGATCACCTACAAGCAGGGGCGTAGCGAGGGGGGGGGCGGGGGTGCGGACCGCACCGAGTGACACCAAGGCAAAAAAAATAGCACCGGGTGACACCCGACCTCGCTACGCCACTGCCTACAAGCATACTAGAGATAAATGTACAGCTTGGACATCTCTCCTCGCACTGAGTTGGAACAGCCCACAAACGGCTCATTTGATGGCGGTAATATTTAGATCTAGATGATATTTAAATGTATAACATATTAATTATTATTCCTTAACTCGATAAATTAACTTAAAAATAAGACCTGCCGAACATGAGTGAATATACGGTGAATAGGGGCCCTTTGTCGGAAGCCAAAGTCATGATGTCTAGAGCCGCTTTGTCGCGAACCTAAATGACTAGAGGCTATATGACGGGGTTCATTAGTCACTGGCTGCTTTGACGCCACACGCCTGTAGTTATTGTATTTACTTACACAGAAAAAGTTATGAAAAATGTATTTTAATTATTCAGCACGATTACGATATTTCGCTGTATTTTATACATACAAATTTTAGTTAACTATATATATAGCCTATATATATATATATATATATATATATATATATATATATATATATATATATATATATATATATATATATATATATATATATAATACATTGCTTCAATCCCAGAAGAAAGAAAATTTAAGTTAACTTTATATATATAGATCTATATATAATCTGATACATTGCTGCAATCCCAGAAGAAAGAAAATTTAAGGAAAATGGTTACAACTACAACATTCCATTGTTACCAGTGGCGTCGCAAGGGAGGGTGTGGACCGCATCGAGTGACACAATGGGGGGGGGCGACACCAAGGAAACAAACTGCAAAATACATAGAAGAAACAAGTTCTTTCTTGCTTAATTAATGAGTAAAATAGTATTTTAAGCACACATGGACATAACAGGATTGGGGAGGGGATAGTGACACCTGTTAAGGAGAAAACTATGCTACATTAATCACTATTAATAACTTATTATAGAAAAACGTGGATACTATAAACTGTGCAAAGTTCAAAGCTGGCAAGGTGGGGGGGGGGGGGGGCTGACAACAACTAAAATTAGCAAAAATATACAACATACCTTATTTTGTTGTTGAGAATAACTAAATTTCTGTGAGTTGCCGTTTACTTTTCAACCCAAGTATACCTAAATATCATGTGTATAAATTTAGGTTGATTAGCATTCAAGCTATTTAAATGTAAAGACTACATTTCTTGGTTTCTGGGATACAGATTAGTCCACAGAGTACTGACCAGAAGCCAAAGCGTTTGCAGTATGAAAGCCAGTTAGCCTTACGTGTCCGTTGATCACTCCTCTTAGACCATCCAAGTGTCAATGGTGTTGTGGGGGGGGGGGCATATTTCAGTTTGGTCAACTAATGTAATAGCCCGCCGTATCCCCAGTGTAGGGCGCTTTTTAAACTAAATGTAGGCGCGACAGTGCTCATGGAATAGCCCTGCATTCCAGGTCACAGGGGCGCCATTTTTAGCTCATCAAATATAATAACGTTGCCCGAGGGGGTGACACCCTGTGTTGCCGCACCGACTGACACCCGACCTATCAACGGCACCAGTGGCGTATTGGGGGGGGGGGATGCTGGGGGGGGCTGCAGCCAGGGGCCCCCGATATTTAGGGGCCCCCAAATTTCCTTTTTCAATCATAGTAAATTTCCCTTTAAAGTGAATTTTTTTTTACTATAAAAGCCAATGTTTTAATATTTGAATCACAAGTTTATTTGAATTTTTGATCAAAATATCAAACTCGAGCACAGCCCGGACAGCGTTTGCTTATGACAATAAATTGGGTTAATTTTAGAGTTAAAAACTCACATTAGGGAAATTAAAGGCGGCTGGGCAAAGTGCTGACCACAATATCTCTTCATATCGTCTGCTCTATAACGACATTATAATATTCTCATGGATATTTATATTTGTTCAATGTTAGTCTGCATTTCCAGCTTTCTCATGCCCAATATAAATTCTTGAATGACAGTAAAATAACTATCGTGACACCAATATACCGGCTCAGGAGTTTGACTCCCGTTAGCAAGGGAGGTAAATTCGAACTGGCAAATACTAATAGTGGACTGAATCAGTCTCACGACGATGTTGGTTTGAAACACTACATGTTCGTCGCTTATTCACCCGCAGGCTCTGACCAGACTTTACTTCCCCCACCCACCAGACGCGAGACATCTTCCTACCGTCTGGTGCCCGGCTAGATCGCGGGGCAGTCTACCTGGGTGTTGGGAAATTGCGAGACGCGAAATTCGAAATGGCGAGGCGGGAAAATTCGAGAAGGGCGCGAAAACGGTCAGTCCCGTGACTTTTTGTCTCGCATATTACCACAACCCGATACTTACGCTGGGTGGTGTTTAAATGCGAAGATTTCTGCGAAAAATTTACCGCACCCGATTTACAGTGGTATTTGGTGCAGACTTCAAAGACATTTCGTTTACATTGTTAAAACTTCCGATTTTTCAGTCGCTAGACATACTGGTGATTTGTGAACTCTCTCTCTCTCCCCCCCCCCCCCCCCCCCATCTCCATCTTGTGTTTCGACTTAGAATACCACCTTGTTCGAAACCGCCCGAAATACCGACGACGATAGATCAACTTCTTTTTTTTGTGTGGTACGCCGAGGCTGCCTCATTGACCGTCTTTGAAGATCACCGTGCCCGAATCCGCTGCCGCCGCAAACATATTTTGTATTGTTGCATAGAAATGTGTGATGAGGGGGAGGGTTGGGGGGGGGGGGGGTTAGATGTGACGTCACACTATAGAAAAGCAATGTTAGAAAAATAATTTTAGACGTTATTTCGCGTTTTAGAAAACTGTTAATAAATTGTAATAGGAATTGATTAAAATACTCTATTTTGACAGAAATTCAAGATTTTGGGAAAATATCGATGTTTTTAAAAAAAATTCAGCTGCAATCTTGAGGGGGTCTGTAGGCTGAGGTGTAACGTCATTTTAGTGGGGGGGGGGGGTCTGGATTTTTGTGAAAATGTGTGACGGAGGGGGGGGGGGAGGTAAACATCGTAAAAAAACCGTGACGTCATTTATGGATGACCCCTTTTAGCTATTAAATGGTAGATAGCGGACTTAATTCAGATTATCTACAGACGCACATTTTTTTTTCATTCTGTTCATATCCGTGTTCTGTGTTAGCACAGTATAAATGGGAGTCTAATGAACTGGGTTGGATGTACTATGTGTGAAAGATGGTGTGACGAGGTGTGTTTGAGTAGTGCTAGGACTGTTTCAGAAGATTTTGTTTGTAAATTCTGTTTGTAATTAAAATTACTTAATAAAAAATAAATTACACTTTTTAGAATTGTTTATACTTTTACACTTTTTGCAAGCACAACAATCCATGAATAGGCCTACATGTTGCAGAATGTCTCTCCTGCAGACATGACTATAACAATTCACAATGACACGTTTGTATAAACATGAGCGGGCTAGATTTTTTTTAATTAATGTCGACTAAGACGGGATTTTCCTCTCGCTAACGAGAGCGGGCGATGACAGTAGCACAGCAACGATGTTAGGATTTTTTAATAGATAGATCTATATCTATATCTATCTATCTTCTTAGTATCTATCTATATATATATAATAATAATAATATATATATATAATAAAATAACAACATACAACACTCGTGTTAAAGGGTATGGCTACATGCTTGTTTATTTAAAAAAAATAATAATTTAAATAAATAAAGATGAATAAAGCATGAAAAAAACTTTTTTTCGCAAATGGTGTCTCGCTATTTACCCTTGATTCCGCAGGTATGTCTCGCAATATTTTCTCGCATTTTACCGCCTCGCCATTTCGACTTTTTAGTGCATTATTAAATAAAAGTTGTTATTATATCGTTTTTTATGAATTTTTTTTAATCCAAAAAAAAAAGAAGAAAAACAGTATGCCTACATAAAATAACACCGCACACAAATCATATAGAATCTAGATCTACAAACACAACAGCGCACAACACAATCGTTATGCTCAATAAGAACTTGATAAGAAAGTAAAATTGTTGTTTTTTAACATTGAGTTTTTTTAAAGGTACACAATTGCTAATAAATATTGCTTAACATGAGAAATTTGTCATAATAGTTACAATAACAAAGTCTGAATAATGTGATTTAAAGATGAAGGCAAAGGTTTTTATTTTGTAAAACAAAATTCCATTTGATTATTTTCGGTATATAGACTGGTACAACACCCCTAACAACCAAAGTAAATAGAGAAATAAATCTTTGTCTTTATCTGTATTCTGAAACGTTGGAACTGTTAAACAAACTAGATTACTAACTAATCTAGATCTAGCTTCTAGATCTAGATGATGTACTTCAACTTTTAACTTACTTATTGTAATTTTTTAAACTAAGAAGCAAGTACCTAATATTTTAGTAAATACATTTCGTCATTTATTTTTATTTATTAGTTTAGTAGATCTAGATTACTAGATTAGTACTAAATGTCTAAAACTCTAAAATCTAAAACATAAAAAATTAAAAGACTAAAAGTAAAGTATAGTTTTCAGGTAATCTATCATTTTGGTTACGTAAAATCGCCCGCGGCTATTAATGTACGAAAACATTACCTTATTGTCAAGGCTTTAAATACTTTAATAGAAGTATATTTTATATTGATATATGTAATTGTAATATATTATATTGTGATATGTTTGTGTCAAATATTAGACTATAGACTATAGATTATAAATGAATAATAAACCTAACTAAATCAATGGCTAAATATATCAATATAGGCCAGAAATTAACTTTAAACGGCAGTGTCTGCGAGCAAGATTTACTATTCACTATATAAACAGCAGCCATTTGTAAAATAGAGTGGCTTCCCCCTGAATCTCGCGCTATAACTTTATAGTTTATACTTTATAAAAAAAACCTTAAGCAACATGGCTGCTATAGTAAATGAGCATGGTTGCATCTGTTGGAAACATCGCTAGTCTTCATTTATTACTGAAAAGTTTTAATTCAATTGTTTAAAAACAGGTAAATAAATGAAACAAGGAAACATTTTTGTATTTTAAAAAACATAAATCCTCCTCAAAATGTGAAATAATTATTAAAATTTAAGGAGTCACCTGTTTTTCACATTACAAGTCGAGGGCGATTTTACGTACCTAAAACGATAGATTACCAGTTTTTAGTTAGTACAGTAGCCTATTAAAATATCAAATTTATATAATAAATTATAGGCCTAGATCTATATTATATTATTTACACATTTTACATCTTAACTTGGGCCTATCTAGTTAACGGTAATCTAATAATTAATCTATCGTTTTTAGTTACTTAAAATCGGCCGAGACTAGTCATGGGAAAAAAGGTGACTCATTCAATTTTTATAACTTTTTCACATTTTTAGGAGGATTTATCATGTTTTGAAAGTTACAAAATTGTTTTAAAATTTCATTAGTGTACCTGTTTTAAACAATCGTATTAAAACTTTTCATTAAAAAATAAAAACTAGCGATGATTTCATTCTATGTCAGTGATGTGATTTCAGCTTATGCATGATGTAATCATATATAAATATTTTATAGGATTTATTTTGTATTTAAAATTTTAGGATTAAAGGTATAGTGAAGTTAGACTACACTTAAGTAGTTGCTTTGAAACATGGAGTATGATTTAACAGATGAGGAGATAGCCCCTATAATACCCGTTGTAGAGATTTCAAATTTGAGTCAACACAGGCAAGCTTGGGAAGCAAGGTATAATCTTATTTCTACCTAGCAGTGAATTTCTAAAATGCTAAATAAAATTATCTTAAAATTGATAACTAGTATTATTTATGTTTTCTTAGAACTGAAATGTTAATATTTTACATATGAATGTATGGGTTCCGTGTTGATTTTCTAAAAGCCAAACTGACAAGATTGAAATTTAAAATATGTCTAGACTATGTAATTAGTAATAAACTGTATTGTGCAGATGTTTCTTGATAGGTAATTTCATGTAATTTGATTTGTAAAATAAATAATTTAAGTCTTTTTATAGATATCTGTTCTGGTTAGATTTTTTAATCAATGTTTATGTGATTACTTCACACATATCTTTGGTATTTAATTCAAATCAGATAAAGTGTTGTTAATTAGGCTTTCAATAGTATTTTAACTTATACATATAAGTGAAACATATGAGACAATTCAATAAAGTATATAGATTTCTTTTTACTTTCTCGTATATACGAAGTATAGAGAAAGTATTGTAATCGTGCACAAAAATAACATGAAATTTTGACAGTTTTCACCGTTTTACTCCTCAGTCCTTCATCACATCCGGAGTATAGAGGACTTATTTTAATCAGGCAAAAATTATAAATACAAATATATAAACGTTTTGGCGTTTTATGCGTTATCGAGTTGTAAAAACTGGACTTTGCAATTCTGTCTGTGTATCTGTGTGTAAACACGATAACTTGAGTACCGTTACAGCTAGGTTGATGAAATTTCATATATAAGTATTTTATCAAAATCGTAGATCCTGATTTCCGATAACCGGAAGTGGTACTTTTTCTACTTTGAATTTTTCAAAAGCCTATAAGTTGCGTACTATTTTAGATAGATGCGTGAAATTTCACACGTAAGTAAAAGATCTAATTCTTTACCTTCTATCAAATTTTGAGTAATTTCCGTTGACCGGAAGTATTAATTTACGCTATTTCCGATTGCTCAAAAAACGCATGTAAATTTATAAAGTACTAATAATATCCCGCACTTTTATACACATTTTATTAGGCGTTCACTTGGTGTGGGACGGAGTGGTCTAGCGGTAGAGAGCTGGACTGCTAACCCGTTAGTCTCGAGTTCGAATCCGAGTTCAAGTCAGTAGACCGTCCCTGAGTCCACCTATCTCTGATGGGTACCTAACTCCTGTTAGGGAAAGTAAAGGCGGCTGGGCATAGTGCTGACCACACTATCTCTTCATATGCAGAGGTCACAGAAACAAGTGAACTCTACTTCACTTGCCCTATAGACCGTCAGGTTTGAGTAGCCATCCCCCGTAATTTTGTATTAGAATATTCGAGAAAGTTTAGGGGAGATCACTCCCGGTTTATTTAATTAAAAAGACAAACTCTAAATACAAATTACTTTATTGATAGTAAATTTTCTTGGACTGTTGCACAACATATATTGCATCTACATACAGAAATAATAACTCTCAGGTCAGATACAGATGATCATCATGACGTGGAATATGATGAAACTGCATCTAGTACGAAAAAACATGTAAATGGCAAGGTTAAGCATGACCTAACACCAGCAGATATAAAACTAAAGCAGTCTGAATCTTTGGCTGTTGAATATGCACTTAAACACAAGGTAAGTAATTTTTTTAAATGCCAGTATTGCAGTAATTTGTATTTCATCAATGAATCTTTTAAACTTTTAAAAAAAAGTTTTTAATCTCAAAACAGGTGGATAAAGCTATTGAAGAGAGGATAAAATGTCTTGCTTATACAAGAATAGTGTACGGTTCATCTCACTGGAAGCATGCACAGAGTATTATCAATTTGGCAGAGGATTACATTAATCTAAAACGTAATATACAAGCCTATTGACATATTCATTTTAACCAAGATTTTCACTTGCTGAGAAATTATTAGATACAGTCACTAATGAACCCAAAGTTGTTTTTTAAGTAATTATTAAACAAAGGTTGACTTTAATGTAATATGCCCTTGTTGTATATCTGTGTTGTGTGATTTGTATGACTAATCATGGATAGCTAAAACAAAAGGAAGTTAAATAATGAGTTTTTAGAAATTATATTTTGTCCTATGCATCATTCACTGATCTGTATGTATCTCTTGTTTTTAGAATACTTTGCACAAGCTGAGTATCATGCAGAGACTGCTAAATCAATTATGTTGCATGGAAATCATCTTGCTTCATCTTTAGAAGAAAAAGCTAATTTATTTACAGTTTTAATACAAATTTACAGAATTTTAGGACAGGCAGCTACAGCACTCAAAAAGTGAGAATCATCCCTATTAAATATAAATATTTAATATTTCTTACTACCTTAAGTATTAGAGACAAAAGTATGTAACAAAAATTCAAATATATTTTTAAGTTTCCCCCCCCCCACTTTACACAATAATATATACAGAAACAAACATTTGCTCTACTGGCAACTAAAGTTGTAAGTACATTTAAATAATCAGATAAAAGATTTGTCTTTGATTAATTTTATGTGTAAAATATAATTGCAATAAAAATAAAGGCATTCAGTGTTGACAACTTTTTGTTTAATATATACAATTAAATTAATATCTTTTTAAAGATATAATGAAGCAGAACAAGCATTACAAAAAGCAGATAGAATCTCTAAAGAACTAAGCAAGCTTGAATGTGTTACAGATAAAGAATGTGACCATCTGGATATTTTGTTATACCAAGCAATGGCCAGGTTTTTGACAACTTTTAAAAAATTACTGTTTTCTTTTTGAGATAGTTTTGTTAGGTCTTTGCCTTTAGTGATGTAAAGATGGAAATGAAACTGCATTATAAGACCAGATTTATTTTTTTGATAAAAAATGAGTGTTTATGTCAAAATTAAATTCCTAATCTGCATTATGTTTAATATTAGCCTGTCGCTTGACCTACTTTTTTTTACCGTCAACGAAAACGACAATACAGTGATACCGTTTTTAACAATGTTTCTTGGTCATTTTAGAGATATATACTTAAAAACATTATTTTTGCGTATTATTCAACAATACCCGTCTAGTTTTAACAATGGATGATTAGTGTTTGATGCAAACTTGCCATTTGTACATTTTTTTGGTCTAATCGCTGAGAATATCAAGCAGAACAAAATAAAAGTAAGCAAAACGCGTCAAACGCCATAAAAAACTAACCCACCGTATCACTGAAAATATATAATTGTAGCCATTTAAAAACAAACGCTTTTTTAACAAATTATTTTCTAGGCTACCGATTAAATTTGATAATTAAAATTGGTATCGAAGTAAAGGTAAATAAATGTAGTTTTTAATTGTTTAAGACATCTTGAACAATAATGAAGTTTAAAATCTTAGGCGATACCATATTAATATTATTGTCTGTAGATAAATGTTTAGTTTGAAAACATTGAAACAAATTAACATTCTACAATTTAGTAAGCATCACATTATCATCACTTTGTAAGATATCTACTAGTTTAATAATTGTTATTATTTCTTGTAACTTCCAATAATGAAAATATTTTATTTAGACACTTCAATATTTTTACAGGCTTTACACAAAACAAAAAAAGCATGCATTGGCCAGTGAAAAATATGACAAGGTAATTGAATTAATGACAAAAGAATTTGGAAATGACAGTATTCAGGTTATGCAAGCTAACACTGAATATGGAATGGTAAGCATTAGCCATAAAAATAAATTAGAAAGTATTCTACTCCAAAGAGTAACAGCTCAGGGTTAGTTTTAGAATATGTTATAGCAAAGAGCATGATTTAAAATTGCTTTTTTAAACATTGAGTCTTGCATAAAGTTGTTTGTAAATATTTTATTGTTCCAGTTAAATTTTTATATCCTTTAGTACAAGCAATAAAACTATTTGTGTAAAAGCTAATAAGTATTATATTATTTAACTTTCAGTTAGAACAATCTAAAGGGAAATTTGCAAACCATGACAAGACTATTCAATTATTTTTAGAAGCGCATTCCATTGCAACAGCTATGTATGTATTTCCTTCAAAAATCATGTTTGAATAGTCATTGTTTGGTTAATTCTGTAGCCAGTAATATCAGGCCTAACTTTAATTGCAATTTATCATTTCAATGCTGTTGATAATATGTAATCTGTTTCTCTAGTTACAAAGAAGGTCATCCAGACCTTATAGACACAGCACTTAACTTATCTTTAGCTTATGCAGGAAATGGATGGGAAGAGGCTGAAGGTATATAGCATTTCTACAAGCTTTTATTTAACTTGCTTCCTTGTGCTTTTGTCTTCTGTTATCATGTATCAAAACTGGCGAGTGAAATTTCTACCACTTCTCTGAAACATGGCATGTGGGTCAGTTAATTAATTGAACATTTAATCAATTTTCTAAGAATTAATGCATAAAAATGTTCTAATAACAAGATTTTATGTAATAATGCACAAAAAGGAGAAAATAAATGATTTTTAAAAAAAGAAATAATAATGAACCACTATTTAAATATCTAAAAGTAAAAGAAGTCAAACTATCGACCACTTTGACAACACTGTCCCTGATATGTTAAATAAGTATTTTTAATTTTACATTTTTTACTAAAAAATATGAATAACTTACAGGCGGGGAGAGAATGGAGAAAACAAAAATAAACAGGTGTAAAACCCTTATCATAGGGTGATTTTTTTAAATTTTTTTTAGTGAAAAAGGTTACTGTACAGATAAATATATTATATCAGTTATCTTAAATTTCAACATTAACTTAAAAGTTAAATAAAAGATGCAGAAAGACCAAAACAATTTTTTAATAAGACAAAATGGAAAATCTATTTTAATACTAAATAGTGGCATTCAAAGGTTGAAAATTATATACAATGACTGTTTTAATATGACGGTGTTTAATGGTTTTTTTTTTGTTTTTTTTTCCGTTATCTTACAGAATACACATTAAATAAGTAATAAATAAATTTACATTACAGGGTCAGCCTTGAGTTATTTAGAGGAATGTTTGAGGTCATGTACTGCACTTTATGGTCCAAATCATGGGAAAACCTTAGAAGTTCAAGACCACTTGGCTAAAATGTACATAAGGATGGGGAAAATGAATGTAAGTTGTTCCAAAAAGCTTTGTTTTGGCTATTTCAAAAGTTGAGACTAGTATCATACTTACCTAAATTATATAAATGTTAATATATAAGCTTATTCCATCAAGAATCCCTAACCATCCCTATCCTATTCCTAGCCTTAACACTAAAGCATATCCCTCAACCCAAAAAATTTATTTCAAATCAATTAGTAACCAATGCCCCCCAAGGTTGTTTTTGGTTGTGTTCTGTGTATATTTTGTGTTGTGTTTTGTTTTATGTGATAAATTGTACTGTTCACCTTTGCGTCATACAGCTAGTGTATATATATATATATATATATATATACACACACACACATACATATATATATTTGAGGATATGGAATATTAATTAAGACAAGCGAACTACAGTACGGAAAACACTCCCCACCCCCAGGCATATACAGTCGAGAAAAAGGCGGCATACATACATATATATATATATATATATATATATATATATATATATATATATATATATATATATATATATATATATATATATATATATATATATATATATATATATATATATATATATATATATATATATACATATATATATATATATTTATATATATATATGTATGGCGCCTTTTTCTCGACTGTATATGCCTGTGGGTGGGTGGGGGGGGGGGGATCCTTCTGCACTTTGATCTTGGGGGGGGGGGGGGGGGTCTTTCACACAGTAACCAGTCTTAATTTATTTTTACAAGGTTAATGGGGGGGAGGGGGGGGGGGCAGGACAAATTTTCAGACTTTGTAACTCATACAGGACCACAATGTTCATGGTTCTTAGTCATTTTTAACCTGCAATTTCAATAAACTACTGTAATTTTTTACTTTGAAAAGATTTTATGTTGCATTATCTTAGGATGCAATGCAAATATTGATGTCCAGTTTGCCATCTAAAATGGAATGTTTTGGAGATTATTCAGAATCTGTATCAGAAAGCTATAAATTAATGGGCAGTATCAACTTGTCAGAGGGTAATATTGAAAAAGCCTTACGAGCTTATAAAAAGGTATGTAGTGTTATTTAATTGTTCCTTTTTTTCAACAAGTATAATAATACTCCAGATAAAGCTCGAAAACTTTAATACTACCGATATAAATCAATTAATTGCCGTCAGACAGTTCATGTGTGGCTTCATTGCTCTGACAAAGTTCTATTGAAGGCCGTATTTCAGCATTATAGATATTATAAGTTCTTTCTTATGAACAAATTTGAATCATTGAAAAGCTCTTAGCATATAAAACAATGATAATTTAAAAATATATTGTGGAGTAACCTAAGGATACTTGCTGACCTGCTCAAGAAAAAAAATTCTTGAGGCCAAAGAAATATGACCTTAGTGGTAATATGGATGTAGTGCAAAAATATAAGTTTCTATCTAGTAGATGTGGGATAAACTTTAGTTTTACTAAAAAAAAAAATTAAATTGTCCATAAACTTCAATGAAAATTTATTTATCATTTTTTAATATTTTACCTTTTTTACCCACCCATGCAAAATTGTTATATACTGTTATTTTGCAGAATAAACATTAGTTGATACAATAATGCAATTTTCTCGTTATTAATGCTATCTACACACCACAATCTACCATGTAAGGTTTTTTTTTTCTCAAAAAGGTTTCACAAAATTAATTTATGAAATGTTTGTTTAATGTCCTGAGCATGACTATGCAATGGTATACTTACTAAATCTTTATATCTTTGACTTTAAATTTAGAAAAAAACGAATAGTCTCACATTTTTTGTGACCATTTTGAAAAAACTTATTGGTCTTGAAAACCTTTTGAGAGCTTGGTATGGTTTATAGTTCAAGTACATTCTGTAAAAAAATGATAAAAATGAGCTGACCTGTGCGACATAGCATACGCCTGCTATCTAGTTGTTTTATTTTTTACTTATCGACCATTCATAATTTGTGAATTCGACACCCCCCCCCCCCCCCCACCACGCCCTGTGAAAGCAGCCGTTTACAGACGACAATGAAAATATCAAGCAGAACTTATTATCTCCCCTTAGTTTAAAATAATTTAAAACTAAATTATCTGCCCCTAATAGCCGTCACTTATTCGAACCGAACCGGCTCTACTATTGTAAACATTCGGGGTGAACCACAGCTCACCCGACAGGTGGGGATGAGGGTGGTGGCTAAGCTGCGTGGTGTCTTCTATTCAGGGTTCGTACGCAGTCTGGAAAGTGGAAAAAGTCTGGGATTTAGAAAAGTTAATTTCAGACTTAAAAAAAAGTCTGGAAAATTGCTAGTTTTTGGGCTGGATTTTTTAAAAGTCTGGAAAAAAGTCTGGAATCCAGTTTTAGAAACAAAACTTCGAAGTCCATATTTGCCAACTTTAAAAATTGCTATTTTTAAGTGAATTTACTCCATTTTTTTCCCTGCTCTTTCGCGCGGGTTTACAATGTGTTGTCACCCTTTTCGCTGGTTCGCAGAACAAAAAACAACAAAAAAAAAACAACGGATGCTCAGTTACTACGTCATTGGGAGAGGAAAGGAAGGGGAGGACAGAGATATTTTGTGGCGCGACTGACCGTGTGAATGTGTTACGTCATTTAATGAAAGAATGATCGCCCTCAGAATTGTTAGGCTCTCGATTTTACCCGCTATCTTTCATTGTTTGAGTTTGCATGCAGCCAGTCATAACCAAAAATTATGGGGGATGTGTGTGAGTGGTAGTTTAGATATAATTTATTTGTCTGTAAGGGGTCATCCATTTATGACGTCCCAAAAAATATCAGATTTTAACCCCCTCCCCCCCCCCCCGTTCACACGCGTTCACTTAGGTTGGATTAATATTAGCATTTATTAGATTAATAAGTCTCAAGGCCTTCTTGTGTTCATACCTGTATTTCTGTTTGCTTCAGCGGTCGCTTACCATAGAGGTACTATTTTTATTAAGGAGTCGTCCATAAATGACGTGACACTCCGGAAAAGTCGGTAGGAGGTTTCAGAAAGTGTGACGACACGCTCTTGCAATAATGTTAGGGTAGATATAAATACAGTGTTTTATTTACACGCTGGGATGGTTTTTAAAACACAAGCAGGGGCGGGACTACAGTGCCGCCAGACCCCGCAATGGGGGGGGGGGCACGCCATTTAGGAACCCATAGCCGACCATAATAAATTTTTTATAGTTAAAAAAATAATTTTCTTGCATTTTTGACTTGACGGTAAAAGCTTTTGTAAATAACAAACAGATCTACTACAGTAATGATGTTATACAGTAGCTAACACATGCTGTTGTGTGAAAAAATATATGCCTGAGCTGTAGTGTGAAAGATAGGCAAACGTTCAAAACACGTCCATGACTTATTTCCCTTTTTTAAATAGTTGAATAGGGGTGCTCCTAAGCCCCTTTTAATATATTTGTACTAACAAAATTAAAAAGCAACAACTTCTCTTAATTATTATTTTTTAAGAAATGCATACTAAAGAATGAAAGGAAATATATTTGAAACAAATAATATAAATACAAAAAACATAAAAATAAACATACAAAGCTTTCACGTTTTATATTCTTTTGACCGGCTAAAAACTAGCGGGTAAGCAGTATTACAGCAAACATTTTGAATAGACTAATTCTAAATCTTTAAAAAAAAAATTCAATACAGACTAATGCACTCACACACATGACATGTTGTAATTTGTTTAAATTGGAAAAAAAAATATCTCAAAACCCGATCAGGCTAGAATTGAGCATCCAATGTTTGTATAATGTGTTTATATATATATATATATATATATATATATATATATATATATATATATATATATATATATATATATATATATATATATATATATATATATATATATATATATATATATATATATATATATAGGTATATATATATAGGTATATATATATAGGTATATATATAGGTATATATATATAGGTATATATATATAGGTATATATATATATAGGTATATATATATATATGTATATATATATATATATATATATATATATATATATATATATATATATATATATATATATATATATATATATATATGTATATATATATATATATATGTATATATATATATATGTATATATATATATATATATATATGTATATATATATGTATATATATATATATATATATATATATATATATATATATATATATATATATATATATATATATATATATATAGGCGTATATATTGGGGGGGGGGGGCCCAGAATTTTTTTTTTGCGGGGTGGCCCTTTTTTCTAGTTCCGCCACTGAACACAAGCACAGATTTCAATGCTGACGATTAAAGCTAGACTACCCCGCCCCTTCTTGTAACTACGGTCACTTGTGTGAACTCACCGTGACCCCAAGCACGTAGTTGGTACTGCTTGGTAATGAGGATATGGGGGGGGGGAGTATAAGTCACATCACAGTTCATGGTATGACGTATTAAACAGACATACTGAAGCTTAGTAGACTACTATGTCCTCTCAGTGACCCCTTCACAGTGTCTTGTGTGGAGGGGGGGGGGGGAGGATACCGGCAATTTTTTTTTTTTATTGCAGACCCGTTTCTCAGCTTTAAGCATAAACAGTGAATGAAGTGGTTACAGCCTGCAAAAAGTTGTTTTTTTTGTTGCTCCAAATTTTTTTTTACAAGTAGCCTTTATTAGGGGACTTAACAAGAGCAGACCTAAATTATTACATTACGTTATTGCTCTTTAAAGTAATTAATTCTCACTATTATGCAATACCATTTTAATAATAGTGTAATTGAAATCATAAGCAATTAGATCAAGATCAGATTACATAAGTCTAATGTTTAAAACAAAAGAGCTGCATCATTTTAATCAATTATTTTAATTCTTAACATTTTAAGTAGAGTGGAGTTAGGCAAACTTAGAAAAGTGATTTTCTGTCAATTTGGTTAGAGAAAGTTCAATATAAATATAGCTCAACTGCCTAAAATAAATGTCAATTAAGTATAAGTAATAGTAATGAGAGTACAAATGGTGCATCATTTTATAAATTATTCGCTAACACATCTGTATAAAGTCTGGAATTTTTCTAAAAAAGTCTGGAAAATGTCTGGAAAAAGTCTGGAATTTCATTTTCAAAAAGTAGTACGAACCCTGTCTATTAGTCACCATGAAGAGAATTATATGTATAGATATCATGCATTATTTTAAAATCTATCAATACTTTTTTCAAAAAATTATTTTAGTGTTACACTATTGAAGTTGTTTTACATGGGAAAGATCACAGAAAAACGAAAAGCACTTTGCAGACAATGGAAATGTTATTGTCGTAAGTAGTATCTAGTAAAAATGTTCTTTTTAGATAGGAGTTCAATAACTAAATTGAATTAAATTTGCTATGTTTGCCAAATGTTAAAGCATATTGTTATTTTTTTCCCATAGCCTAAATGTTTGTAATTTAAAAAAAAAACCCAGATTATTAAGATTATATTCAAGCTCTTTAAAATATTTTCAGAAATCCTTCTCTCTCTCAAAAGTTTTTATTGAACAAAGGTGATGACTTGTTAAAGAGACCAAGGTTTAACAGTGTAGTTGGTAGAACAAAGTAATCCATCTAATGTAAATCATGCTGGTTAACCTATTATACTTTACAATTTTAAATAACTTTTTCAGTAAATTTTGTTTTTAATACTATAGATTTATGTATAATTTTTATGATTAAGTAATTTATTCTTATATTATCAGTATCACTGATCTTACGATGCAGTGTCTGAAGAAGGTCAATTCAGAATGTCAAATTGTTTTTATCTCAAAGCAATTTTCTCCATTGAAATTATAAAAAAAAGTACCCTATTGAACCTGACAGTCCATGTAGGGTCCAACTGTTTCAGTGACCTCGGCATATGAAGGCATAGTGTGGTCAGCACTATGCCCAGCAGGCTTTACTTCCCCAAGTCAGGTATCCATTAAAGGTGGATTCGAATTCAAGACTTTGGAGTAGCCTTTGTATGCTTCACTACCCAACCATGCAATCACATACTGAAATTACATGAAACGCAATTAATCGGTTCCATTCTCCTAAATGCCACCCCAGTTAATGAGAACAATGTAGGCTACTTAAAAAATCAAATGGTGTATAAAAACATAATAAAGGAGAATGTTAAGAAATAAACTGGTTTTATTAAGTATATATTCTTTTGAAATCATCTGACTTGAGCTTACTGAAGATGCTGGCTGTTATTAACAGTGTTAACACTTTACTTTTTTGGTCACTTTAAATATTACTCGTTACACTCTAAATTAATAAAACTGGTAGCTGCAACGAGGTGTATGCAAATAGTAGTAAAACATGTAGTGTAGCTATCACAAATTGGACAATGTACATGGGTGGGTGTTTGGGGTGATGTGGGGGTGGGGGCATTCCTGCGATATCATTTGGATTCATTCTTAAAAGACGTGCCCCATTCAGCGCCATCTTTTTTTTATGATTTCAGAAACTGCTTCGATTTCCATCTCTCCTAGTATTCTCATTGCACAAGGTATTAGGCTGGTGGATGCCTTTTATCCTTCCCAAGCTTTTAGTTTGGAAAGGGGCCAGTGATCTTCTGGTGGAGGTTGTTTCTTTCCAGCATTTGCTGCCATTCAGTAGGATGCTAAAAACATTACTTTTGAAAAGTCTGCATTTGTTCTTGGAGGCGATTGATGTTTTTTTGCATGGTTGCTTGTTTTAATTTCAACAGTGTGGTCTCCTTCATAATTAAGTATGTCAAGTCTTTTACTTCTTCTACTTGTTTCTTGCTTCATAACTTTGGGTTTGTTAATGTTTAATTTGAATCCAAAATGAATAGGTCTGTTTAGTTTTTCTTGCATGTCTCTATGACTACTAAATAACTAAACTTAATGGAAGGTAACTGAAGTTCACTGAACATAGCTGAACTTATATACTACTTGATAATTGATTGTTATTTTCACTTAATTTTTGTGACGATTTCTCTTCATAGGCATACCTTTTTGCAACAGTTTACTCACTTTCACACGCAGGCCGTTAAAAAACCTATTAAGAAAGCATGTGTTTCCTCCCTTACAGAATATTGCGAAAATATGTTAGACTAGTGTCATTAAATCGGTTCACTGCATGATTAGTTGCAACTATTTTGGGGTGTTTCTTTTTTCTCTTTTCCATGAACTGATCCGGCTCCTTGTATTTCAAATTTTGCTCATAATTCAAAGCAAAAAAATCATATCTAAAAAATCTCATTATGTCGAGTTACTACTGTAAATACATACATGCATGCATGCATATATACATACACACATATATGTATATATATATATATATATATATATATATATATATATATATATATATATATATATATATATATATATATATATATATATGTATGCCTAATAAAAATTAGTTATGGGTATACAGAATTCTGGTCAATTGTAAATAAGATTTACAAATTTTCTGCATTTTAAAAGTGCAAATTTTAGAAGAACAGGATTTTAAAAATCACCATAAAAATTTATGTGACTTATTTAAAAAAACAACAACATTGTATTTTGGTAGGCTAGTATGCTACTAGGGCCTACATCTCTTTGCAACTTTATGTATTAAAAATAAAGATTTTTATAATACACTTTTGACTACATTATTGTCTTTTTATTCCTGAAAGTTGTTGCTTCATTTGATATGAAAATTAAGCTACATTGTTTTCGATAGACATTACTTTAACCAAAAATTGGGTTTTAATAATTTTGATTACACCATTTAAAAACTAATCGTACTGTTTCGTTGATAAAATGTACCGTTAAGTAGACATTCTTCTTTCTTGTGATCAACATTACCAGCAACATCCCCCCCCTTTGAGATTGCTGTAGGTCTATATCTATATCGAAATAACAAGTAAAATGTGCGTTTTATATTTATAACGTTACTATGGTGATCGAGACAGACGCCGCCGAATCAAGAGCAGGTAAAACCTGTCTGTAAATGTGAAAACAAGTTGGTTGAGTTTGTAGTAGGGCCGACTGGACTCTCCCCTGTGTATCGATGGGAGGGGGGGGGGGCGTAAAACACTGATGTTGATATAAAAAGGAGATGTCATTAGCGTCCTGTTGTATGGTAGCATATTCAGAGTTTCTTCCAGGCATCTCTTCGGGGGGGGGGGGGCGAAATTTTTTTACCGCCCCCCCCCCCCCCCCCCCGAACGAAATGAAATGTATATAATTTATATAGAAAATATATACTTTTAACAGTGTCCGCCCCCCCCCCCCCCGAAGAAAGTCTACCGCCCCCTTCAAAAATTTCAAGTGCTCTCCCCCCCCCCCCCCCCGAAGAAAAAAGTCTGAGCATATTCTTGGTCACAGAAGGGCGGGGTATCGAACTACTTGAGTAATATTTTCTACTGAAAGTTTACCGATAAAACAATGCTTGTAACAGTTTCACTAATAACTAAATGGATTTAAATCCACTTTTCTGTACAAATTGCAACCCTTTCCACCAAACGGGATGACACAAGATGCATGTTTGCTCTCTATAGAGAAAACTAGGCCACGGCTAGGTCGACTAATAACTGATCATCAATACTATATTTGTCCGTCCATACACCCATCCATCCAATCCATCTAATCATCTATCTATTTATATGTGTGTCTTAGTTGTACACCATAATCCGCAGTGACAAGTCCAATCTCACCGAACCCCTCGGGCTATATATACAACCAAAGTTAAGAACCATTGGCAGGGGAGGCTTAACATACATTTAAGGCGTTCTCACAGCTAGAGGCTTAGCAACCCACAACGGGGCGAACTTTCAATATGGAGTCCCGTCTACCCCCATGTATATGCCTGTATATGTTGACGAGGTAAGACAACCATCAAAGAACAAAATGTCCACGAGCAACAAGACGGAACGTTAAAAAAAAGTGTCTGCAGATGACTTGGACGTCTGAAACATATTTCGACAGCAAACGGGGAATTCCAAATGAAGTAGAACAAGAGCCCATTATCTCATGCTAGTTTGCAAAATCTATGTATCAATTTTTTAAAAAATATGCAAAGTTTGTATCAGCAAAAGTTGTAGGTAATGTACGCATCCTTATGGCATAATTATGTTAACAGGTCCGTCAAGTGGTCGTCCTGCACAGAGGGTCAAGGGTACTACATCATTTAACTATCAATTAAACCTGAAGCGCCCCGGGCCCCTTTGTGAGATCTATGAAGTATACGTATACGTTTTTAAATTGCGCTATTCACTAGGGGCAGACTACTAAATTGGATGACTAAATCGACTCATGGAGTATCCTGCCGTGGTCATGTGACCTGGTGCCGTAGTGCTACCGTGCTTCGCCATGAAGGGTCGTCCATAAATGACGTCATACTCGTAGGGGGAGGGGGGTCCGTAAGTTTGTGACGGTGTGTGAGGGGGAATCAGATGGTATGATGTCACTTATTTGCATTATAAAAAAGAAATGTTAGATAACGAGTTTTAGCCATTATTTCGCGTTTTAGAAAACTGTTTTAATAAATTGTAATAGGAATTGATCAAAATACTCTGTTGACAGAATTCTGACAAGATCGCAGCCATGCTGGCACGCTAATATATGTGTATATGTGTATGTATAGTATAAGATATATTTAGGGCCTCTACTACTTCAGCTTTAAAAGTACGGAAGGTTGATACGTTTAATGGATTCTTAATCTTATATGCTCGTTTTATCGGTTGAAAAAAATCCGATTACAATTTTTTTATGATTTAGTATGTATTATTTTAATAATAATTAAGAGAAACAATTATCCTTTAATTTGCTTAGTACAAGAATATCATGACAAAAACCACTATCTATCTGCTAGAAAAAATATTTTGGAGTAAAATAAAAAATATAAAAAATTGATCGGATTCTGGAACCCCTTAACCCCCCCCCCCCTCTCTCTCTCTCTCTCTCTCACACACACACACACACACACACACACACACGCACAAAACAAGTGGATGTATGGGTGTGAAGTTCGTAAATTTTAAACTACGAATTATGGCATTCCTTTACGGGGAGGGGAGTACGTTAAAACCATGTTAACAGCTGCGGATCTGCTGGCAAGACTGGGCTTGCTGAGTTTGGAACTGGTTTAACGATTAATGGAAGATGTTTTAACTTTAACAATACTGTCATTAAAGGATTGGTTCAGTGAGATATACAGCTAATACTTAGTATAAAAAGGTTTAGTATAAAAAGGTTTTGTTACGGTAGTTTTCTAGTCTAATTTGTCTTATTAATCGTGGTTGTTATTTTTTTTTTATCAATGTCGATGAATTTTCAAAACAGTGGTAAGTGCTTTTAACCGTAAAATCAGATAGTCTAGGTCTACTATCCTCAAATGTTACAGGGCTACATTTTCAGACATTATTATTATTTTTGTAAAAATTAGCTGCAGTATTATATTATTATAATTAATATAATCGGTTTGACTATATCATCATAACTTGATACATTATTGTTAGTCATATTTTCAAAATGACTAACATTGAACTTATTTTGTATGAGAGCCCGTGCATATTTTACATAACAATTAGGGTATATTGTGCTGGTAGGAGGTTGTAAAGTGCACTGACTGAATTCAGGGGCGGAACTACAGTGCCAGACCCCGCAATGCGGGGGGCCCGGGTCGTTTAGGGGCCCACAGTCGATCATAATCAATTTTTTTTATAGTTAAATGTTTTTTTTTTCATTTTTGACTAGATGGTTGTTTTTGTAAAAAAGAATACTGTAGCTGCGGTTGGATTATCTTTATTCTATAGACACCATCCGGAGTCCTCTTTCTTCTACAATCAAACACACGCTGTTGTCGGCAAAGTTCTTTTGAAAATAAATAAGTCCATCGCGCGAGAGGCCGCTAGATATTAAGACGACTTTTGCTTCTTTATATCATTGATTAGGGGTCCACAATCCAGTGTGATTTTTATAATGTAAAATGTTCGTTTGTTGTATCGATAGAACTACTATTCTGTACTATTTCGGTTTTATGTACGTTTACTTCTTTTTGTTTTACAAACAAATACTATAGTAAACGTGTATATTTTGAATTCTCTCCCTTGAGTGCTTCACAATAGGCTTTAGGAAAAGTAGTTAAGACCATCCCATCTTCCGTAAAATTTGGGAAGTTTTTGAGTACTCATAGACCTAACATTTGTTCAAAATGTGCAGTTGAGAGCCCCGAGATCCTCAGTGGCTATCTAAGCACCAGGGGTCCGCTTATTGGGAGTGCTGTACAGTGGGATATGTGTACTACTTGAATCATCAGTCTTGCTGCTTTAGGGACCTCCGTCGGTGGTCGTGTCACAAAAGTCCCATGATGCCTTTGACAACAAGGCCGTCGCCGCAGGGGGGGGGGGTGTTCTCTCACCCTCAGCGTAAACCGGGACGTGTTTGTGGTAGTGTGTATAAACTAGAGCTCTTAAGCATCTTTTAGTCGATTTGCACTAAACGAATTAAAAAGCAATTACTTCTCTTAATTATTTTAAAACAAAAAATACATAATAAAGAATCTAATATATAAAACTCAATTCTGTATGTAACACATATGTTTGTCGTGGATCTTGGATGGATTTAACTGTTAGATAATTAAAGTCCTTATGGTCTAAATTTATTAGTTAAAAAATTAATATTGAAAGTTTTGGGAAATAATTTTCATTTATCAAACCGAAAGTAATAATTTTCGGCATGTTCATTAAACATAAGTTTTAAAAAAATATCATCTTTTACAAAAACTCTAATTATGTCTTTATTTAGTCCTATAGCACTTACTTCCCTTTGATAAATTAGGAAAACACAATTACTTCCCTTGATAAAACCATTGCATTAGTGGAAAAGAATTTACTTTTTATTACTTTGTTTTGGTGTTGGGAAAAAAAAATTACATAATTAGCGGGGATTGATCAAGTGCAAATGTTGTAGATATTAAACGGATAAGCTTGGAGTATTATAATTGTTCATTAAATTGAAACAGGCGCGTTCGTTTAAGTGAGTGCAAAAGACTATGAATAAGTTGGGGTACTATAGTCGTTTATTAAGCTAAAACAGGCGATTCCGCCCCGGGCTAGACTGTGAGCACTTTGCGTTTATGTTCGCGTTAGTGTTTTCTTTGTGTTTAAGTTGGGTTTGCGTTAGTGGTTGCGGTTTGATTTGGTTCGTTTTCGTTCTATCTTTTTTCGTTTTTGTTTGTGTTTTTTTCTTTGGGTTTGTGTTTTTGGTTGGTTTTGCGTTTGGATTTGGTTTGTTTTCGTTTGCTTTTTCGTTTTTGTGTGTGTGTTGTTATTGGTTGGTATTGGTGTTTGTGGTTGGGTTTGTTGTTAGGTTTTTGTTTTCGTTTGCTTTTTTGTTTGTTTTTTCTTTGTGTTTGTATTGGTGTTTGTGGTTGTGTTTGTTGTTAGGTTTTTGTTTTCGTTTGTATTTGTAATTGTGTTAGCGTTATGTTTGCGTTTTGTTGTTTTGGTTTTGGTTGGTTGTGGTTTGGGTGGGCAATGCCGGGTTTATGATGATTACTAAACACACAGGTAATGGTCTTTAACAGAAAGGCTTTTCACAGAAGCCAGAGCAGGGCCTGGCCGGGACGGCTAGTGACAGTATAAAAAGTTAATGTATTTAAAACTAATTTAAAAACATAAAAATAAACATAACGCTAGAAACCATTACACCTACCAAGCCTTCATGCTTTAATTCTTTTGACCGACTTTGTTAATTGGAGGCATTATAGCTGAAATATATTGAAACAGAGATTTTCAAAAAGAGACTTATAGCACTTACACAAATGACGCGTTGTTGTGACTTGTTTTAATTAAACAAAAAAGTTTAAGAATTTATTTTTTTCAAAAGAGCATTTTATGTTCGTATTTTCATATTATTTTGATTTTATATATATATATATATATATATATATATATATATATATATATATATATATATATATATATATATATAACCAATGAATATATATATATATATATATAAAATGGGTTGGAAAAATAAATTGAAAGGTTGAGGGGGAAGCAAATCGAAAGTTTGAGGGGGGAGGGGTTGCAAATCGAAATCTTGAGGAGGGGGATGCAAATCGACAGTTTGAGGGGGGGGGGGGTGTGTGCAAATCAAAATCTTGAGGGGTGCAAATCGAAAAAGTTTGTCCCCGGGCGCCGGGAAGGGTCGCTACGCCTCTGTCTCAATCTCGTCCCGTGCGACGTCAATTACCTGATGATACTACTCACGGCCCCGTACCCCGTGGTCAGTTCCAGATATTTTATGGGCGATGGCCGGTGGTTCGCTATTAAACGCCGCAGGTGTCCAGATCTAATCGGTGCCTGACCAGCGCTTCCGGTCTAGTTATGGTGCTAGCCATCTTGGCACAGCAAGTACAGTCACTCTGTCCAAGCCCCGGTTGATAAATGGGTACAGGTAATGTCGGTCAAGTCCGCGCGGGTGGTTGCGATGTCCTCACCACACTATATATATATATATATATATATATATATATATATATATATATATATATATATATATATATATATATATAAATTGGGCTCTTAAATTTTATTTTGCGGGGTGGCCCTTTTTTTCTAGTTCCTCACTGACTGATTTTGATTTGCAGTTATTGTTCTTTTCGCAAAATTGTATGGTTTTCTTTAAAGCTATCGGAATGATATATTGACAACACTAGCTTACACATACCCCTCCCCCCTCCCATTTCGACTGTATACATCTTTTTAGTCTATTAATTACCAATTTGAAAGACGAATAATTTTTTAAACAAAGCCTTTTTGGGCGGGTACTCAACAACTTTCCACAGTTTCATTGCGATCAGATGAATGTTGTAGTATTGGATTAAATACTGAAAAACGTTTTCCTTAAATGACGTCAAGCTTTTTCTGAGTTCTTTTAACTATCTAAACCCTTCTCCATCGTCAAACATCGTAACAAAAAGCCAAACCCCCACCGCTAAATGACGTCATTTATTATATTTTGTCAGTAAAACAAATGTTTGATTAATTAATTTACAAAAGATAATATTTTAAAGATGATGTAAAGAATAATAATGTTTCCTTCGATTTTTGTGAATTAGATTCATCAAATAAATAGGCCTACTGTAAAAATGAATTGATATCTGCTGGCAGAAGTGAGTGGGGTGAGGAGGGGGGTGGGGAGGTGGGCGGACAGTAGTAAAAGTATATGATTTCTATATAAATTCCATCTCGTTCGGGGGGGGGGGGGGGGGGGAATCAGTAGACTTTCTTCGAAGAGATGCCTGGAAGAAACTCTGGCGCCAAGAGGGCAGCAGCCAGAGATTGCTTAATTACTATTTTTTTTAAAGCAACGTTTTAATGTTTGAATCAGAATCTGGTTTCATTTTTCTTTCTAAATATGAAACACATACACATCTTCAATAATAAATTTAACCTTTCATCACCTCATACCCAGACATTATCTACTTCAAGCCGCCGCTCCTTAAAATAACACGATTCTGACCAACTTTCGCTTATGACGATAAAATGGGTTGATTTTGTTACCGCTTTTTAAAAACAATGTAGGCTATTACATATTTAAAATAATAATATTAATTTATTTATAGTTTTAAACAGTTTCAAAGACATGATCATATATATATATATATATATATATATATATATATATATATATATATATATATATATATATATATATATATATATATAAATATATATATATATACTAGCGTACCCGTGCCCGCGCGTTGCCGCGGGGATGGAAGGAGGGTTTTATCCATACGTTACCAAGTTACCAATCCTATATTCTTAGACGCGTAACCTTGTTTTCTAAAAGTGAGTTATTTAAATGTAAACAATGCCTGCGCTTGGATTATAAATACCGGGACACGGGTTTACCTAAACTACCGCGTGAAAACCTTATGTGTACATTAATCACTCACCGAAATAATATGGTAGAACACACTCCGGTTACCACCCATGTGTCAGAGACGTAGAAGGGCGCTCTCAGGAGCACCTCCCCTCGATTACACTACGGCATAGGCGCCATGTACGGACCCTGGCTCCTTAAAACTAACAGGCGCCATCGAGCCAAATAGCATCATGTTAATAATGATGCAGATTTCGTCATTCGCTAAAGTGACACAAATGAACAGGATTTTTTTCTTTAACATGTAAAAAAATTATTTGACGTGTTTTAAATATCAGTGTGACTGATGCAATATACTAGCGTTACTAATGGTCTATTATTAGATGCTCGATCTCAATTTCTGACTGGATTGTCTAATAATAGATGCTTATTGCATCATTCGCAAAGT